TATTAGATAATTCAACAAAACTATCAACATGATGGTTATCTGGAAATCTAACGATACTGTTAACAGGATGGATATCTGGAAATCTAACGATACTGTTAACAGGATGGATATCTGGAAATCCAACAATACTGTTAACAGGATGGATATCTGGAAATCCAACAATACTGTCAAGAGGAGAGATATTTTAAAATCCAACAATACAGTTAAAAGGATGGATATTTAGAAATTTAACGAAACTATCAACAGGAAGAGGTTTAGAAAATCCAACGATACTGCTAAAATGTCAGATATTTAGAAATCCAACGTCACCTTGTTAACAAGACGGATATCAGGAAATTCAACGATACTGTTACATACATAGACAATAGAATATATAGAGAGGAATTTAATGGAAAAAAAGTGTAAAACGGCCATTTTGTTGTACTGTTTCCATACTGCAGGTGTACTTCACATATTTATGCTATATAACCTGTTGGGCCCTGGAATATCATTTTATAGAAAATCTAAAATTATTGTTAAAAGAAAACCAAATTATGAAATAGGCTGGTTTCATAATTGACCAATGATCATTTTACATAGACTCTATGCCTTCCACTTTACAAACGATGATTTTCCGTTATAACTATAAATCAAATGATGTTTTTATTCACCTAATTCATTATAAAGTTTATTTAACAGTTTAAGAAATTCGAAATTAAAATGGATAGTCTAGGGAACCTACTGTATTAATGTACTCTACTGCATATAATTTGTGAACATTTACATGATTTGTACACTTTGAACTCCTTTCAGGCTGAAAGGGACTGACAAAATTCATACCGAGAGATTCTTTTAATTCCTCTCTATTCTATTCTATTCTCTATGGTTACATAATAGATTGTTTAAAAATCTAACGGTACTGTTAACAGAATGCATACTTGGAATTCTAACGATTTTATCAACAGGAAAGATATTTGGAAATTCAACGATTATGTAAACAGGATGGATATTTGGAAATTCAACGATAATGTAAACAGGATGGATATTAGGAAGTTCAACGATAATGTAAACAGAGCTGAAAAATTTAGAATGGGATATCCTTAATCTTGCTCTCTTAATTAATCTGAAGATTAAAAATGAGAGGAGAACAAGCAATATTTAATCTGGATATTAAGAAAAAGAGTGGATTAAGCCTTAATCCGGATATCCACCATTCTAAAGTTTTCAGCTCTGGATGGATATTTGGAAATTCAACGATTATGTAAACAGGATGGATATTTGGAAATTCAACGATAATATAAACAGGATGGATATTTGGAAATTCAACGATAATGTAAACAGGATGGATATTAGAAAATTCAACGATAATGTAAACAGGATGGATATTAGAAAATTCAACGATAATGTAAACAGGATGGATATTTGAAAATTCAACGATAATGTAAACAGGATGGATATTTGGAAATTCAACGATAATGTAAACAGGATGGATATGTGGAAATTCAACGATAATATAAACAGGATGGATATTAGGAAGTTCAACGATAATGTAAACAGGATGGATATTTGGAATACCTTTGACACTTCTTCCTTTTTTTTATAAATGTAGCATATGTAAATATATAATATATTAATGGTGTCCCATAAAAAATAAAAACTGAATGTCACCTTTTAAAACGTTATTTTTACTGTCTAAATTTTTGTAAACAATTAAAATTTTGGAAAGCACAAAAATGTACAAACATTCTATCGTTCAATACTCAAAGACGACTTTTAATCCTCTGAATTTCTATGTTTATTGGGGCATACATACATATAGCGGATAATACAATACATACCGTTTCTTTCTTTCCCTTGTCATGAAGATACATTCATAAATAACCCATTCACTCGACACAATATCAGAGACGTACATTTACTTATTCAGGTTATTTGTCTGTCTGTCTGTTTGTTTGTTTGGCAAACCTCTCTGCTTTGAATCCAATACCAGTGCATTTACAGTACTTAAACATTCAAGGTTCGGCTTAAGAAAAGTTGATTTTATATTTGGCGTTAATTTAGAAATGTCGCATAAACTGTAACCGACTTGAGCATATGTCCAGGAAGGCACACCGCGCCCACACGTTCATTCGGATTAGCTGTTTTAAAGTTTTTAAAGGGACTGTAGCATAATTTTAAGGGACCTTTCAAACCTTAAACTGTTCATGGAGTAAAGAAAAAGAGGGAAATGCCCGATTTATTACTTTAAACCTTTGACCGTTCATAGAATAAAGAAAAAAAGAGCTATTTCTTTTAATATCTTGAAAATCACTTGAATGCGAATATATCGAATATTTGACTTAAAATGTGATTTCCAAAAGTTCAAAAGAAAACACTTTCTAGAAAGTTAATATTTTTAAAACTTAAAACACCTTGCAAACAAAGAGTTCAAAAACTAAAAGCGCTTTTTCTAGTATTGAGAATAAGCCCGACAACCTTGATCTTTGCATGAACAGCCACTTGAAATTACGTTTACAGTCCCTTTAGGCTTCTAAAAATAAGTAAAAGTTTATTGGTTTTTAAATAATTGAAAACCACATGAAATACCATGTAAAACATGTCTAGTGTCGGACATATCGGGTATCAAACTTAATCTTGTAAAACATGTAAATCTTCAAAGTTTCCACTGTCGGAGGGTCGTGGGAACAGGAAGAGGGGGTCAGGTTGGGTACAAAAGGGAATAGGGGAGGGGTGGAGGGGAGATTTAATTTCATAAGAAGGAGGGCAAAAAACAAGGGGAGAATGTTTACTTTAGAGGACTCCTGAAAGTAAGAATTAACATGAACTTTATTGTAGAGAGAGGTTGAGAGAGAGAGAGAGGTTGAGAGAGAGAGAGGTTGAGAGAGAGAGAGGTTGAGAGAGAGAGAGGTTGAGAGGGAGGGGGGGGGGGGACATTTATAAAGATAAAGCTTAACCTTTTCAAAGGAAAAATAAAAAATTGAATTTGCAATTTATTCTCGCTTAAAATTTGCTATTTTCAAGTGGCGGGCGGTTCGGTGCAAAAGTGACTATATACAGAGATAATGAAGAAAACTGTGAGAAATTAACATGATTTAAGGTGAAAAACCAAGAATATCTTCATAATTGCTATTCATTATAGAGGTTTACAGGGTACGATTGTGAATTAAACATGCCATTCTTAATTTTTTTTCGAATAAAGGGTCACTTCTAATAATGCCAGCAATCTATACATATACTTTACTTGTCTGTTTGGGTGTGCGTTGTTTTTTTTTGTATCCAATATACGTCAAAACGGCTGAATGGACCCAAATGTTGTGTGGGACCTCACATGACCCCAGGGAAGGTTTATGAATGATCAAAACTTCAAAAATTAGCGTGCAACAAAATTTGATTTTCATTAAATTTTAAAAATCCATAACATTTTTGGATAAAATCCGCAAACCTTTTTTGTTTTTGTTTTAAAATGTAAAGTGACAATGTTTTCAATTGATATATAAGATTTCCGGGGAGAGCCCTCAAAATCTATAGTATCTTTAAATATCTGAAAATTGACTATGCTCCTTGTCCAAATAGAGACATTTTTAGATTAATACTAGGAATTGTGATTCTCCTCATTAAAGATAAAATATTTTTCAGTTCATTGACACAAGTTATAAAGATATATTATTTGACAAGCAGAAGAACCTGACTGGGCACGGAATCTTTATAATGGCAATGATGATTTGGCGGAAGACGACCTTTCGTGCGAAAAGGGTTAAATGAATTGAGTCTTTGTCACAAATTCTGATTATCTAATCCCTATAACTTTGGAACCAAATGTCGAAGACTTTAGATATTTCAAACTAAAATTTTAAACCATCAGGACGCAAAAATATAGAGACTAGAACATTTTAGTTTTTGACAAAGACTCAATTCCTCTGTGTGGGTGTCACTTGTATACATTTTATGTAAACGTTAAATACATATAACATACACTGGGGCGTGTAAAGGGGGTGACCCCGCCCTGAAAAGGGACTGCTGGTCAATGGGGTTGACAACAAAAATGACTTTACAGTTTTTAAACCTGAAAAAGTATTTAATTCTAAGCAGAAATGCATTATCACTTTTACACGGAAACCAAAATTTTAAACAATCATTTTTTCACTAAATTGGGATATCTCATTCATCTAAAGGTCAGGTAAACATTTTACTGGCACCGTTGTGAATCGAAAGAGTTTAATCTTTAAATGGAAAATCACTTAAAACTATGTCTACAGTACCTTCAGGTTTAAAGTATTGGAAAGTAGCTAAGAATAGAGTACAGTTGGTAGGATGAGCAGAGAGTATATACAATAGAGTACAGTATAGTAAGATGAGCAGAAAGTATATAGAATAGAGTACAGTAAGTAGGATGAGCAGAGAGTATATAGATTGAAAAACAGACAGAAGACAGTTATATAAATGGGCTCTACACAAATATATAGATAAAGTTTATACATCTCTCTCTATATATATTTAGAGGGTTCACAACTTCACAATAACAGATATAAAAGCAAATATTGATCTCAGTCTTAGGGTTATATACGTAAACGATAAACTATACAGTAAGGAAAAATAAGGAATCTAATTTTCAAAAAATTCTATAGAATATAGAGTAAGTGGAACAAAGGAACTGAGTTTTAGCCACAAATTCTGATTTTCAAATCGCTATATCTTTTTAGCCAGATGGTGTTAACCTTTGATATTTCAAACTATTAGTATTTGATCTGAAATAATTCATAGTTTGAAATATCTAAGGTCTCTGACATTGAAATGCAAAGATATAGGGATAGTAAAATCAGAGTTTGTGACAAAAACTCAATTCCTTTACCAGTTTGATTTCTTCTTATTCCAAACTGATCGGGTGAAAGGAATAAATTGACGCAATTTAAAACAGCTGCGACGCGCGTCAGACCGTAGGGTTGGGGTTCTCTCCTCCGGGGGGTTGGAGCAGGGATGACGGGGTGGGGAACGGAGGTTCGGAGATACCAGTTCTACTCTTACCGCCACAAGGAGAAGTTCTGTTGAACCCTATACTCCGGTAATTTGTAAGTTCTGGTTTTAGGATTTGATTTGATTGTGAACACATTTGAGCTAAAAATCATCTTTAACTGTTTTCTATTTTAAAACATGATAAACTCTAAACAGTGACAGGACTGTTAGAATATAAGAAGAGAAAAAAAGAACATTTTTGGTGAAAAATATGCTTGTTTCTCGATAGAATCTAGTGAATTGATACAACGAAGGAAGGAAGAAAAGATGGGACGGAAAAGTTAAAAAACTTCTCCAAGTCCAACCTTTAGCATGGGAACCCAGGAGACCCCAACACTGGGGTTCGGAGGAAGAATTCTTCTTCTTCTTTTCTCCAGATTCGCTCTCATTCAAGGATCTACGCCAGGTATCTTAAAGAGAAAATTGTGTTCATAACATTATCTTAAAAAACATTTGTTAGATTCCTTATTTATTTGAATGCAATAAAGTTATATTTGTAAATATAACTGAAAACCCATTCGATGGCCAACTTCGCACTTTTAAGATATAAAGGTATTATGAATATATTTTCGACAGAAAAATCTATAAAATATATTTTAATATTAAAAGAACTTTAGAACAATGTGAGAATGTGAACATGTTTTCTTGACATGTTAAAGTTGTTAAATCTATTTCTCCTAAAGTATCTTTATTAACAGATTAAACCTTAAAGTTTATTTAGAGTACAATGGCAATCTTTTTAAAGTGAAAACTCTGCATATTATGTAAAATCAATTTGAGACCGCGTAAAATTTACTTCATCGGAATAATTTGAGTCGTATTTTTATCTCTAGTTCAAAATCCACTTAAAATAACGTACGAGACTTCATATATTATCATTTTTGTTAACAAATATTCCAACATATATTCCAAAATAAGATAGCAAATACGAAAAATCTACATTTAAGGGCGAACAATTTGTTGTTAAGTTAAGACTAATTATAGACGTTTAACCCTAGCTGAAAACTTTAGAATGAGATATCGTTAATCCAGATTTCTTAATCTGAGTGTCCAATGGGCACACTTTTGATTTTCTTCTTAAACTGTTCTTTCTTGGATATAGTAGAGAAAAATCAAAAACATGTTAATCTAAATAAGAGAATTCCTCCCTTTTCTGTATATAATCTTAAATGACGCGCAAAATTTCAAATTTATCAGCTTCATATACGCGACTCTGATTGGTTAAATTTCATACACTTTTCAGAATACAAGTTCAAGATTAGATTAGTCTCGATATTATGAAAAAGAGAGGATCACGCATTAATCTCGATATCCACCATTCTAAAGTTTTCAGCTCAGGACATCTAGCTCACCTTGAGACACATCTGTGAGCTAGAGGTCCTGAAGTAAAGTGCTTCTAAGACAACATCAATAAACTTATATTTCCTTAGTCCTAAATATCCATTTCCTGACAGGTTCTAGAATTCCTATTTGTTTACGAGAATATTCTATTCTTCTGATTATTAGTCTTCACTTTCGACCTATTTTTACTCCTTCTGAGTGTTTTTTTATCATGACATTCTCGTTAAAAAAATAATAAACTCCTTTGGATTTCTTTAATGAGGTCAAAATCTCATATGAACTGAGCTGGGAACATTTCTGTTGGATACTCATAATCTCGTTCGTTTGATCCCGATATACACAGTGGACATTTTTAATTGGAGTATCAATGATTAATCTATTCATTTTAGTTATCCCTTTAAAATACAATTAAACTGCGTAAATCGAATAAAAATTAAACTGATCTGCAGATTAGTAAAAGATCGAGATCTGTTATCCTTCTTCATTGGATTTTTAAAATACTGGTTTATTCAAAAATAATTGGATGCATGCATACTGCATGTATTTTGTTTAAATGTGAAACTAAAAAGAGTAAAATATAAATATTTAAGCAAAAATACAAAATTTCCTGGAAGAAAATCCACTAAGCTTTGAAGTTAAAAAATCTATAAAAATTAAATTTTGTAAACTTTTCATAATCATTTTCTCTGAAGCTCTTTAGATAACTTAAACCTAACAGAATTATTAGAAATATCTTTTTTGACCTTCTTTGAGACTTTCCAACTTCAAAGAGGACTTAATTCAAAAATAGGAATTTAAAACTTTGATCTGAATTTTTTATTTTGATTTTGATTTTTTATAGAATCTTAATAAAAATGAAAATATATAAAAAAAGATAAAATAAGAGATATAGAAGCATAGGGTGAGGTTCTGTTTAAGTTTTCCTAAAGAATTAAGATAATATTTGAGGGTTTATCTTTAAAGTTTTTAGAAGCAGGGCGCAGAAAGGAAATATGATGAAAAACAGACAAATTCTCCCGATATGGGAAATATGAAACATTATAGAAATTGTCCATAAAGAGTCAGTGCACTTAAATTTGTTAAATAAATTTTCAAATATTCTCTTCAAATTCCTTTGTCAAGTTTATTGAAAGGATCATTAATAAACTAATTTTAAGTATCTATCCATCTATTCATCCATCTATCTGTCTATCTATCTATCTATCTAGCAGATGTTCTGAAATTATCCTATCCTAAATTGTGCCTGAAGTACTGGGGGAAAAGTGGTCCATTTGAATATTTAATTTCGCTATATATATTCCCGGGAATAAAAAGAAACTTAAACTAGAAGATTTCAATCAAGAAAGAAGAAAAAAACTTTAAATAAATTGGAAAGGAAAAAAACATCTCAAAAAAATGAGAAAACCAATTGAACATCAAATTCGTAAGTTCAAGCAACAATTTTAGCCCCATCCTCTCGTAGTTTGTCCATGGAACTCCTCCCCTCTTCTTATGACAAATAGTAACCTCTGGAGCTATTCCAGGTTAGGTTAGGTTAGGTTCAGTTCAGACAGAAAGTCAGGGGCGGATGTTTTTTTATTTATGGGAGATGGTCTACGGCACATCACTGCCATCTCAGAATCTCAGATATCATAAAACCGCTACTAAATTCTTGCTGGTCTGACCCTGTCCTCGTACTGTAATAGGATGATTAGCTATGTTTAATTATTTTATCGAAAAGTACGACTTCTAAAATGCGATTTTCGCCGTATCTGCCTGACTTGTCCTATGACTGGAATTTACTTGTACTAGTTTTCTGTGACATTTAATAAAGAAATGATCCCAATTCTTCTAGATAATCATTTCCTATATGGAGAAGAGTTGAAATCCTGAAGATTGAAGAGAGGAAGGAAGGAAAGCTGACATTTTGTTTAAAAAGACAAATATCGATACTCAATACTTGAATCAAACTTCTTAAAAGAGAAAACGGAAATTGAGGGAATGAGAAGGAACAGATAGGATTCTTCAGAGGGTGTGTTTGGATGGGGGGGGGGGGGGGGGGGGGAGATGCTTAGGAATAGGGGAATTGGCATGGAACTTAGATTGGTTGCTAAAACCAATGCAAATTCATCTTTTGAAATCTTCTTTCAATTTATATAATATAAAATAAATATATTTGCGTTGTTTGCTGGTTTCAATAAACATAAAAACGACTTAACCAACTAGCTATCGGACCCAAGAATTATACCTCACGTGATCGAAGGAATATTTAAAATATAAGCAGAGAAAATGTAAAAAAAAAACTGTAAAAGCATAGAAATGTGAATCTCGAAAACCAGTGATTAAGATAAGAACAAAGATGCGGAGTTAGGGGTTCATGGTATATTGGCAAATGATAGTAGTATGTTTTTTTTTTGGTTGAAAAATTCCAATAATCCATGAGCTTTCGAACAAATCGTCCAATAATTTCTACTTTTGTTTCAAATCCCTTCCTTCCCCCTTCCTTCCAATAGTTTCCATTAGTTGGTTAGTTACTTCCGATCCAAACCTTTACTTTCCCCCCCCCCTCCATCCCATACTTTCTTTTATTCCTTTTCAATTTAATATTTATCCAATCCATCTCAAGGTTCCAAAAAGTTTTTATTTTTATTTTGTAAAACTAACCTGACTTTAGATTATGGGTAACATTATTGATCGCCAGCTGTTGTATAGGAAATGTTTAGAAGAAGAAGAAAGGCCGAACTGAAAAGTTCAAACCACTTTGTTTCCGATTAAAGGGACTCTGAGCGTAATTTCAAGTGACCTCCATTTCAAGATGACAATGCCCAATTCACAACAGTACCATTAAAAACTTTGTCTGATCAAGTATGAATTAGATATCGATGTTTAAAATTTTGAAAACAGATTATTTATAATTGTGGTTTCTCTATGTACAAAAGTTACTTGCTCATTAACGTTGTAAATCCTCTTTGCATCTTTTCTTACAGTTCCTTTAAACGCTGTTTTTCTTACAGTCCCTTTAAACGCTGGTTTTCTTATAGTCCCTTTAAACGCTGGTTTTCTTACAGTCCCTTTAAACGTTGGTTTTCTTACAGTCCCATTAAACGATGATTTTCTTACAGTCCCTTTAAACGCTGGTTTTCTTACAGTCCCTTTAATTTCTTACAGTCCCTTTAAACGCTGGTTTTCTTACAGTGTCCTTTTAAACGCTGGTTTTCTTACAGTCCCTTTAAACTATGGTTTTCTTACAGTCCCTATATACGATGGTTTTCTTACAGTCCCTTTAAACGTTGGTTTTTTACAGTCCCTTTAAACGCTGGTTTTCCTCCAGTCCCTTTAAACGCTGGCTTTCTAATTTTCTGAAAAACAAAGAGATGTTTACTGAAATAAGTAACTAGTAAATTTTTGTTTAAGAATTAAATTTAAAAATGAATCATCTCTGGTCCATTGATGCCAGTATGGTTGTAAACCCTTGAATCACTTTGATTAAATGTCTCCAGGATTATCAATCGATTCAAGTTTTATAGGATCCTTTCCTTTACTATTCATCATCTTGAGGGATAATTTTCTTTTACATTTTTCATTCTTGATCCCGAGATCGTGCCTTGGGTTTAAACAAGGATTAACAAGGGGGGACACAGTTTAAAATTGCTTTGACATATGGAGAACCAAGAAATATTAGTTTAGAACCATATATCTAGGTTTTTCTTCTAAAACCATGGGCTTATACAATAATACAGATGGGGGCAAAGGGACAGTACCCCACCTTTACTCCTAAAGGGGGGAAGGCACGCCAGTAAAAATTTAATTTTTCCACCTGTAACAGAAAAAAAGTGTATCAAACTTAACACATTTTTATCCTAGTTTAATTTCTGCAATATTTTTTTTTTTGAACTTTTCATTAACCTCAGGTTTTTGCCGTTAGCGATGTTTAAAGAACATAACGTCGCGAGGTACCCGCAATATTGGAAAAATGAAAAAAAAATTTTCTCTTTTTCAAACTTTACCAATATTAAAAATTGCATCCATCATCCAATATTCAAAGCTTTGATACATAATCCAATATTTTATAAAACTCTAGATTTAAGAAAATTCAAAGAAAGCGAAAATTCATCCTTCACTGCACATTTCTATCAAATCATTCTATTCCTGTAGAAATTGTTTCTATTTCGACAAGAATAAAGAATTTTGTTTCTCTATTTTGTTTTCCTTTATTTACACAGCCAGCTTTTTAGGATTAAACAAAACCCTAATTTAGATTTTGTGTATTTAGAGTTTCGCACATTTTCACCATTTTGTATTAGGTTTTATTCATTTTATTATTAAAGAGATTGTGCAGTTTAATCACTCCTGTATGCCGAGTCCATTACCGCCTTATCCAATCATGTGTTTGTTGTCTATTCTGAACCAATAGAAAAAGTATGGCAGTAACATCTATCTTTTTATCTATCTCATTATCCAGTTAGTGTTATGAATCGTTTAATCGGCGCTATCAATAAATGGAAATATTTACTTCTACTGAAACTATAGTTTAATCTTTACAAATTATCATAGACAATTAATAAACGATCTCGTTAAATCTTTAACTAAGAACTGTGATGGAGATATCTTTCAGGTCTGAAATTCAATTCAAAATTAAGTTAAAAAAATAAAGTTTTAAAGACGTTGGCAACCCTTTCAGTTCCAGCAAAATAAAATTGTTCTGAACAGACTTACGTTCAAGAGAGTTTATTAATTTGCTACTCTGTTCAATGGCCAATTTTTCTGCTAAATTGACTGTAAAGGTAAATTCAAAATCAGTATTACGCATCCAATTTAACCCTTTATCTGAACAACAATGAAGAAGATATTGTGATTTTCTGACACGAAAAGTATTAACTCTGCACGTTTACATCCAAGAAAAATAAATCTAAAGCAAAAATTGGCTTGTTTTGTAGGTTATATCGCTTTGTGCGCATAGAGAAATATGTTCAAAAAGCACAGTTTTAGTGCTAGAACTTTCAAACCGTTTGTAAATTATCTTTAAGTCATAATAAACAAAATCACCACTTCGATCAGCACATATTTTCAAGGGTTTTAAATGAGAGGCCTCAAAAATAAAAATTTTTTTTCCTATTTTTAGCCTGAAAAGGCCATGAATTTTATAGTTATAAGATGATTTTGTAGAAAAAAGAAGAAACCCAGCAGTAGCATTTAATAAACATATTACCAAATCTGTTTATCATGATTGTGAGAAAGTTCATTGATGTTTTGAAAGTTCTATCCATAAATCTGACAACGGGAGAAACTTAAATGTGCTTTTTGCATATATTTCACTTTGTGCAAAGAGCTTGCTACATAACCTACAAATCAAGGCAATTTTTTTCATTCGAATTTTTACTCTTGGATGAGATTTATTTCTCAATGTGAATTAAACAGTAATTGGTCAAGTATAACAATAAACAATGGTCGGATTTTGTGTACAAAATTAGACCTAATAATTAAGTAGTGTCTGATGATTATCTTTTTCTAGCTGGCTTCAAAAATTTTATTAAGTTACTTTTAAAGAGAACCGCCATTAAAAATATCGTGGTGAATCGGACATGCTATTGAGGGTAACTTGAAGTTACATCGTTGAAGGATACAATTAAAGTCTTTAAATACAATATACGTTCTAGTTTACAACAACTTATATTAATGTATGCGTGTAAATATAAAGTAAAAATAAGTATTAAGTAAAAATACATATATAAGTTATATGGATCCATTATACTAAACTATTGTTCTAAGATATCCCCCCTCCCCCCCCTTACATACACATTCTCCTCTTATTAATAATTGTCTAGAACCCCCGCCCTCCCCTCCCTCTTCTCCATACAGCATTCTCTCTAGTTTTCTGTTTTTGTTTATTTCTACAAAAACTTTATTATTTCTTCTTTTTGTATTCCAAGCAATGAATACCCCACCCCCTGCACATTCTTCTTTGAATATATTTGTCCCGATGGTCTAAGATGTATTAATGCAATCCTAAGATCCTAAGCCAATAAACTAAGTTATTGGATTACTCCAGTATTGATCTACATCTGCTGGGTATACAGTTGAAGATAATAGGCTGTTGATCTACATAGAAATATACAATATACATAGTCCAGAGGACAACCATGGATATTCTTTTTGGCAAGGTTTGGTTAAGGTTTGGTTAAGGTTTACTGAGATTGGAAATAGATGCGAAGAATCGTGCAGAAATGTGGGGGATATAAAAGGAAGACGAGACTATGATTGTAGGGCGCTTTGCGATCCATTTCCAATAAACAATTTCAGCTAATTAATCATTCTCAATTTTTCACAGATTTTTTCTTTTTTTTTGTACATTTCCAAAAATGATAAATATTGATTTTTTTTGGGCAACATTTTTGACGGTCCATAGACTTTCCTGAGGTCTTGTGAGTTGTCATAAAATTTGGACCGATCGGTTCAGCCATTTTGACGTTTATTGGATTTGAACAAACAAACATGGCAAAATTCATTATGAGTTTGTGAAGAGATGGAACTTATTGGGTAAAGTTGGGAAGATATGGAATTTATCGGGCAGATTTGGAATGTATTGGGTAAGGTCGGGAAGATATGGAATGTATTAAGTGATGTTGGGAAGTTAAAGTATTTATTGGATAAGGTTGGGAAGGTAAAGGATATATTGGGTAAGGTTGGGAAGAGATGCAATATATTAGGTAAGATTGGGAAAATATGGAATGTATTGGATAAGGAAGAAAATGAGATGGAATGTATTGAGTAAGGTTTAGAAGAGAAGGAATGTATTGGGTAAGGTTGGAAAGAGATGGAATATATTGAGTATGGTTGGGAAGAGATGGAATTTTTTGGGTAAGGTTGGAAAGAGATGCAATATATTAGGTAAGATTGGGAAAATTTGGAATATATTGGGTAAGGCTGGAATGAGATAGAATGTATTGAGTAAGGTTGAAAAGAGATGGATCGGAATGGAATATATGATATATATATTGGGTAAGATTGGAATGAGATATAGAATGTATTGAGTAAGGTTGAGAAGAGATGGCGTGGAATGGAATATATGATATATATATTGGGTAAGGTTGGAATGAGATGGAATGTATTGAGTAAGGTTGAGAAGAGATGGATTGGAATGGAATATATGATATATTTATTGGGTATGGGAATGAATTAGCAGTATTCTGAAAAGGAATGGAGACTAAAAGTGGACATGGAAAAAATACCTATTTTAATGTTTAAATATTTGTTTTACATTATAAATTCGAGTATTAAGATAAACTTATTTCTTACTAATCATCATTCTCCTCCTTCTCATCGAATATTGATCCTGTCAATACCAGCTATAGATAGATAGGTAGATAGATAGATAGATAGATAGATAGGTAGATAGATATAGATAGATAGATAGATAGATAGATAGATAGATAGATAGATAGATAGATAGATAGATAGATAGATGGATAGATAGATAGATAGATAGATAGACAGATACAATTCTTCTAAATATAATACTCAGCTCCAGTTTAAAAAAAAAAACTCATTCAGCCAAATTTTCGGTTTATTAAACCATCTTCGGCATTCTAAAAACATATAGATTAGAATAAGTCACTTAAATATTTGGTATTTCAAATTTTAAAGAATTAAAAGATGATAACAATGTATAAACATGAACAAGTGAACACTTATCAAAAAAACTAGATAGATAAATAGAAATATAGGTAGATAGATAGCTACTGGACTAATTATGTTTGATTGCAATCCAGTACGTTTCTTAATGAGTTCTAATTAAACTTGTTAAGCTATGTCAAATAACATCTAAATGTCTAGAGCAAATATAATTTTTGCTACGTCTCCACGTGTACTATAAAAATTCGCAATTTTCTTTTATTTTGAATCTTTGTAAATACATTGTGCGAGTCGATTAGCCTCCTTTCTTTTACTGTTTGATGACGAGGGGGTGGGGGCAATTTTATCCAGAATATCACTATAATTAACCACCACTTCTTATTTTAATTATTATTATTATTATTATTTCAGTGTCGAGCTCCCTAACTGCGTCTACTGACAGTACGATCAGCCTGGCCTGCTCCGACGTGACGGAGAACACCTATGTTCTCCTCCTAGAGTGGAAATGTGAAGGAATCTGCTCAACACAGGAACAAATCAAAATACATTTTTCTACAATTTTAATTTTTTAAACATCTTTTTTCTTTAATTACATCCAGAGCGTGAAACTGGCTAAATCTAGGATTTCTAGGTTTAGACGGAGATCTTCATGTTGATGGTTAAACCTTGGACGCAGAAGTTATTTCAGAGGTTAAATGTCTCATTTAATACAAAGCTATAGCATAGAAGTAGAAGGTAGATGTATGCAACATTACTGGTACGGATTTGTGACCTTGTAGCTCCTCTATAGCTTTGATTCTACGCACAAGTATGAGAAACGCAAATGTATTTTCACATTTTAGAAATCAAAACATTTTTTTTCTTCTCAATAACTCTTTTATAAGAGAAGTTATGGTTAAACAAATATAAGGTTACTACGTGCAATTTACTTTATTTGAACTTTCATTGGTGGATTGAAAATTGCAAGGATTTTCTAATTTAAAACATTTTTAGAGTTTGGCCAACTGATCAAGTTGACCCGCCATATATTCCTAGAATTACAGCTCAGTTAAATTTTTTAAATGTATTTTTATTTACTCAGTTTTCATTCTTAAAACTCTTTTTAAAATTATTTTAATTTATGAAGTTAATATCAATAATAATATATTTAATATTTTCTTTTAATACACTAAATCAAATACAACAAATATACAAATATATAAACATGAAAATAAAACCCTTTCTAGGATAATTTTGATTAAATTTTCTTTATTTTTCAGTCAAATATCAAATAATATTGTTTTTCTTGAAAATTATCATGATCAAAAATATCTTATGTATATGTTAAAATATTTAATAATAAGAAAAACATTTTTTTACCAATAAATAAGAAACAATTTCGACTTCTGAATATTACTATATAGGTGATATAACGCGAGATATTAACATATTTATATACATAAAGTATTTATTTGGATGTCCAATCATAACTTAGGAAGCCCTTGACCGATTTGACTCAAATTTTGATTGGGGAACTTTGTAGATCACTTAAATGTTCTTATTTTGGTTTAAACATTCTAAAAGGATTGGGTTGACTTTAATTCCAGGCAAACCTGGGTTCCAAATCGGGGGTTCAATATCAATACCGTATCATCAGATAACATTTTTTTACTCAACTTAAAAAAAACTCCATTTGTGAGTATTGCAATATTTTTCCAATCTTCTGTAAGAATATATGTGTTGTGTAATCCTAATCCTGGATCAATATGATCCCTGTACAACATGCATGTCTGATCCATAGATAGCATTTGATCCGTTTAATCAGTTCAGATACGGATTATTATAAATATTATTTATTAAAGATAACAATTTTATACAGGGTGGTGTTCAACACAGTTCATTTCATGACGAAATAAATTAAATAACAAAAGAATAAAATTCTGAAGTTATTAACAGAATAAATACACTTAGAAAGATATCTTTAATTTCCCAAAAGATTTTCGAACGTTAGCTTGAAAAAGTATAAACTTCTGTTTTCTGATGCTTAAATCTACAAGTAACGTTTAAAGAGAACTCATAATTAAAAATAATCTATTCTAAACCAGAGAAGGCTTTTAAAGGTAAAGTCGTGAATTTGACATGCCATTCTATTAATGGAGGGTCCGTTCATAGTTGGAGTAGACCTTGGAGTAGACTGATTATTTGTTAACCCATCACAGTATAACATCATAGTATAACATCACAGTATAACATCACAGTATAACATCACAGTATAACATCACAGAATAACATCACAGTATAACATCACAGTATAATCACAGTATAACATCACAGTATAACATCACAGTATAACATCACAGTATAACATCACAGTATAACATCACAGTATGCCATCACAGTATAACATCACAGTATAACATCACTGTATGACATCACAGTTAACATCACAGTATAACATCACAGTATAACATCACAGTATAACATCATAGTATAACATCGCAGTAAAACATCATAGTATAACATCACAGTATAACATCACAGTATAATATCACAGTATAACATCACAGTATAACATCACAGTATAAAATCACAGTATAACATCATAGTATAACATCACAGAATAACATTACAGTATAACATCACAGTATAACATTACAGTATAACAACACAGTATAACATCAAATTATAACATCACAGTATAACATCACAGTATAACATCACAGTATAACATCACAGTATAACATCACAGTATGACATCGCAGTATAACATCACAGTATAACATCACAATAACATCACAGTATAACATCACAGTATAACATCACAGTATAACATCACAGCATAACATCACAGTATAACATCTGCAATTAAATCTTTTATCTTTTTATTGTAGGCGTCATAAATTATACTCAGACAGAATGTTTTCAATTTACTTAAGACACTGCGTACTGCAGACTGGATCAAAAGTAAACAATAACACGTGTCATAGATCTTATAAAAACACGTGTCAGAGGTCTGGTAAAAACAAGTTCAATTGTTATTCTAAGCTCGTGAACATTCAATATGTTTTTGTATATGCTCAATATAAACCCGGAGAATAAATCTATCTATCTCTCTATCTATCTATCTATCTATCTATCCATCTATCTATCTATCTATCTATCTATCTATCTATCTATCTATCTATCTATCTGTCTATCTATCTCTCTATCTATCTATCTATCTATCCAACTATCTCTCTCTCTATCTATTAATCTATCTAGCCATCTATACCTAGAACACTGTTAATAAGACGTTTGACAGAATTAGACATTCTTCAGGATCTATTCAGCATCTTATTTACTTCTTCATTACAGAGTTTAACTGAAGGCTAATCATATGAATATAGTTTAACTAGCTTTAATAGCTCTAAGTAGAAACTTTACAGTTGTCCTCAAAAAGTAATGGACAACTAGGGAGACTTTATATATTTAAGAATCACTTTTAAAAACTAAAAAAATTATTAGACATATTTTAATCAAATCTTAGATTTTTTTCCTTCTCAAGCAAAAGTTTTAATGAAAGTTAATTAAATTTTTTGCTTTTTCCAACTTGGTCATAAGTACATTAAGAGCTTAAGAGAAGTGTAAGTTACAAAAACTACAAAACACTTTTTCAAACGGCAGAAGAGTGGTGGTTGGGGGTGGGGGTGGTGGGGGTTTGGGTGTCAATTAAAAAACAAAAAAAAAAATTTAGAATTGATTTAAGAGCAATAAAAAATGTAAAAGAAATATCTAATGTAGAATAAAGTTAGCATTGATTAAAATGTTAAAATGAAATATTATGATGCCGACGACGTAGGTAAAACCACTTATTATGCATTATCTAAATCTAGAATAATGTAATTTTAGAAAATTATGTTTTAACCTAGATTCTTAAATATTTTAATTTTTAAATTAGCTTATACAGAACATCAGAGGTCAAAATTATTGTGATCTCGATATACACTTTGGCATTTTTTAGATTTAATAAAAAGTGCTTTATGATCCCTTAATTCTATTTATCCTTCCAGAGAGTAACGACCATAATCAAGGTAATCCGTAGGACTGCACAAGATATGGATCAATGCTTGATAAGATATGGATCAATGCTTGACAAGATATGGATCAATGCTTGACAAGATATGGATCAAAGCTTGATCCCGAGATTAACTACACACAAGTTTGGACCTCGGATATTTTACAAGTTTAAAAGAGGCCAATACCATCATGTATACTTTTTTAATTTGCTCCGGGCTGTAAGTGTAAAGCCTATTTTTAGAATCGTTGGTTTAAACTTTGTCATTTTCAACTGACTTCAAATTTTAGGAAATATTATTTGGAACAAGGTAATCTTTAAGCTACCAAAAATATCAAATATTTTTGCAAGGAAGAATTTTAAAGAATACTTAAAAGTAAACTATGATATTTGTATGAATTGAGTAAACGTTCTATTGACAATTCTTCTATCTATTTTGTGTGTAAAGTTAATCACGTATTCTATTTTGACAGTCAGACACTACGTTAGGAAAAAATAGAAACTGTTTTCGTGTTTTTCTCTCTCTATGATATTTTGAGATAAGATTTTGATGTGTTTGTTTACCAGGGTTCTTCAACCCTTCTCAAGTTTACCAGAGGACGCGGAGTAACTGAACAAAAGGATCCTAGGTTCAACCTGGATACTCAGAGATTCGATCTGAACCTTACTGCTCTCAGGTAAACCTTGAAGAAACTCATGGTTCTAATTGAATCTTACTGCTCTCAGGTACACCTGGATACTCAGAGATTCGATCTGAACCTTACTGCTCTCAGGTAAACCTTGAAGAAACTCATGGTTCTAATTGAATCTTACTGCTCTCAGGTACACCTGGATACTCAGAGATTCGATCTGAACCTACTGCTCTCAGGTAAACCTTGTAACTCATGATTCTAATTGAACCTTACTGCTCTCAAGTAAACCTGGACACACGAGATTCGATCTGAACCTTATAGCTCTCAGATAAACTTAGATACTCAGAGATTTGATTTGAACCTTACTGCTCACAAGTAAACCTGGATACTTAGAGATTCGATCTGAACCTTACTGCTCACAGGTAAACTTAGATACTCAGAGATTCGATCTGAACCTTACTGCTCACAGGAAAACCTGGATACTCAGAGATTTGATTTCAGCGTCCCTGTTCTAAGTTCCTTGTGGATAAACAGAGACATTATCTAAACCTTAAAATTTTATCCAAAGTTTAGAGGTTTAGTGTAAACAAGGATAATATGAAAGAGCTGCAATTAGGGATTTCTCCACAAGTATGCATGGTTCAGACTGAAAGATATGTATAGTGTGTACACAAAGCATAGATGTCTAAACCAATATTGTATATAAGGGTGCTACTGGGGGGGNGGGGGGGGGGGGGGATAGGATCCAAGCTCTAAGGCATACAGAGTACAGAAACTACTTTTTTCTTCTTAGATAAAACCTCCTCGGGAAATTTTTCGTTAAAAAAGCATAAACATTTTATTTGAGAAATATTTAATTTTCTCAAGGTATTCCGTGAAATTAGCATTTTTTTGGTTTTGTGTGCGAAATAAAGTTAATAATAGTAATAATAAGAATGATAATAATATAGATAATTGTTAAGGGTTGAAGATGCCGGAAAATATTACTGTCTGGTTAATAATAAAGAAGAATCTCAGGATAAAATAAACCTAAACGTACAAGGTAAGAAACTAATAGGGTTATATGTAACATGGGGGAGGGGGAGGAGAGGAGGGGTTCATCTTTTGACGATGAGAAATGGGTTTGATTGATACAATATGCTTGATCACAAATAAGTCTATATTTTTTTCTCAATTAAATCATGTCATAAATTATACTCAGACAGAATGTTTTCAATTTATTTTATTAACACCTTAAATTGACAGGGATAGAAATAAATCCACAGGGAAAACACCCAGACAAAATACAAAAGGGTTGATATTTATAAAATCTTGATTGATACAATTGCAAAATTAGTTTAGTCTCTTCCTCCCATATTTGAAATATTTTCTTTATAGTCCCTTTCTTCCATATTTGAAATTTCCTAAAAGTCACTTCCTCCATGCTTTCCTCCCATATTTGAAATATTTCCTTATAGTCACTTCCTCCCATATTTGAAATATTTCTTTATAGTCACTTCCTCCCATATTTGAAACATTTCCTTATAGTCACTTCCTCTCATATTTGAAATATTTCCTTATAGTCCTTCCTCCCATATTTGCAATATTCACAATATTTGCAAAATTTTATACATGAAACCAACTCCTTTCTTTCTCTCATGTTCTCAAGTTTCATAAAACCATAAAAATATACATATATCGAGTGTTCAAGCAAATTTCGCAAAAAACTTTTAAAAACTTTATTTTAAAAAAATGAAAAAGGAGTTTTCAAAACTAAAACTTATTATGTGCGCCTAAAATAAATAAATTCTAGAAAATATGAGATATGACAAAAAAAGTTTGTTGACATCCAGTTTTTGGTATACGACTCTCAGTGTCCCAAGCGAGCCTATAAGCAAGTGTGAAATATGGTTTCCGGTTTTGATTTGGTCTCATGGGAGAGGGAAGCGGGGGGCCATCAGAGTTAGATTTGATCGATTGATGGGCTCCAGGAGGAGGAGTAGGTCGTATTTCATCATATATTATGTTTTGATTTTTTAACGAGATGAGTTAGAGGAGTGATAAACGTTTAAATCTGCAGAGAGGGATAATAACACTAACAGACAGGCACAATATCATTCTCACGGTCACAAACCTAATATTTCTCTTATAGATATAATTTAAAAACAAATAGTCGGTTAACATTTATAAAGTTTTCGTTTCAGCTCCGACCGAACCTCCTTCTCGTCCTCTGGTGATGTCCTTCACCTCCCGGACTGTCACGTTGTCCTGGACCAAGCCGAGACCATCCCCTAGTGCACCGCAGGACGTCAAAGGATACGTGATTACAGTCAAGTAAGTTGAAAAAGTAAATGCTGGATAGTGCTCATGTACTTTTTATTGTCAGTAATATATATATATATATATCACTTCTGTATGCCGAGTCCATTATCGCCTGATCCAATCAGGGTTCAGTCATTGTTTGTGGTCTATTCTGAACCAATAGAAATAGTATGGCGGTAACATCTATCTTTCTATCTATCTCATCATCAAATTAGATATATAAATCCTTCAATCGGCGCTATCAGTAAATGGAGATATTTACTTCTACTGAAACTAAAGTGATCTATATATATATTTATTTTATATGTACTTTTTATTGTCATGAATATGTACATATATATATATATATATATATATATTTAAAATTTCCTTTTCTCATATCGAATTTTGATTTAATAAAAAAGTAAGTATTGCATCCTAATTTTGTTTTGGGGCAGAGATCGGAGTTTCTGTGTGGATATTGTTAATCTTGTACACTTGATCTCGATATCCAATGTGGGCACTTATTAAAGGATCAATGCTTGATACCTCAATTAAAGATATCCAATATGATTAAATTAATCCGTAGATCTGCAAAAGCTGGAAATAAAATGATTTATTCCGATAAACAAAACTCCAAAACTCTGACTTCAATTAAAAAAATTAAGAAGAGATCAAATTCCTAAAAAAATATACCTTGGAGGCTGAGTTCATTAGTGAGTGAGTCATTTGCCTGGGTCGGGTCGGAAACACAAAGTGACAGTCTCAAAATAATTAAAATAATTTTACAAATCAAGCAGCAAAAACCGAAACTAAGCTTAAAAGATCAAAACGTGCAAACATTATAAAAAAGTTCCATGAACTGTAAAAAACGTGACGAAAAAATTAAAAGATACCTTTGAATACTCAGAAAATTAACGCTTTTTTGTTTTAAAAACATGAAAGTAAGTTTTTATCTTAGCTAATAATAAGCCAAATACAGACATAGGAGAGAGCCTGAGACATTTATTCTGCTATGTGTCAAGAATGTAACCTTTTTGTGTAATAGACACACAAAACTCTTGTTTTTATAATTGAAACAATTCCCGTAAACTCGGAACTCCCTCTCACTCAAACTATATTTGTTTTTACCCAAAAAACTTTGTCTTTTTAGACATTTGACACCAAAAGAAACGTTGAAACAAATTCGAAGAATTAATCTATCTCCCTTCTTACATTCCCTCTTTTTCATNAACCCCACCCTGGTGAAATTCCCCTTGTGTTCTCTAAATCTTAAAGATGTCAGCGTTTTAATTGATAAAAAGTATAATTAATTTTCCGCACTTTCCTCCCGTAAAAATGAAGTTTATAATTTGATGAATTGAATAAAAAAGTTTAGTCATGATTTACTTCAATTTAGAGATTGGGTGACATTTTCAATTCACAATGGTACCATTCAACCTTCATCTGAGTAACAATGAGGAAGATATTGTCGTTTTTCTTTTTTCATTTCAATATTAATTTTTTTATAAATTTTACAGCTAATAAAATGAGGATATCTCATTCATTCTTTATCAGACTACATAGTCCCTTAAACAAGTATGTTTTTAACACCTTTCAAAATTATAACTTTTATGTTTTAAAGTTGTAACACAAACAGCATATTCCCTTCTCTCCCCATTATCCAATATGGTTGCCCCCCCCCCTCCCCTCCCTATCCGTGATCTATCCTCTTCCGATTTAAAATAAATGATATTTGAAATTGTGATATTTGAGTCACGTATTCGATATTCTGGAAATCCATGGATTCTCAAAGGAAACTCAAGATAATTTATAGATGTTTCAAAATCATATAACATTAAATTAAAAAATTAGAAATAAACTGTTTTTCATTTTACTATTTTTTAATATCTTCTATTAAGCTCGTGGATAAAAAAAAGTTCTAGGCTTTAACATTTATTGAACACAAACAAACAAGCAGACAAAAAACAATCTGTTATATAGATGCAAAGTCCCAAAGTGCAATGTAAATTTTCTGTCAATAGTTTTAAACTTTATCGTTTATATTTATTTGATAATTTAACTTTTACCAAAAACTGTTGCACTCTTGTAAAGGCATACACAAGGTGATTAAGCTTCTTTAGGACTCTCTCCGATGTGTTAAAACTGTTAGTCGCAAAATATATTTCAAACCTGAAACAAGGATGATTTAATTACAATGTTTCTGGAGTTACAAAATGCGAGTATTTGTTTTAATAGAAAAAAAGCAAATGATCAACTTTAAGAAACACAAATGGTAAAGGATACAGTTTAAGGTTGTTGAATGAGCGGAGTAAATATTTATAAACTGATAAGTTGAAATTAAGTTCCGAACATTGTTTGTTGCTAGTATTATCATTGTATTTGAAAGGGTAACTTACTATTAGGTCTTAACACACTCGAAATAGAGAGGTGATTAATTTGTGACTAAAACATAATTGTCTTCTGAAAATAATTGCTTGTTTAAAAAAAAAGAAGAAAGATTGTTTTCACTTGGAATTTTAACTTATTTTACTTTAACATGAGCGGTTTTGGTACACAATCGAGTATCAGGGTTGGGGGGGTTGGGTTTTCTGGTCCTTTCTTAATTTTTAATTGTCATTTAGAATGACTTTTTTGCCAATTCAGCACTAAAAGGGCCTAAACAAACATTGCAATCAAGAGGGGGGGGGGTTAAACATCAGAAAATTAATTTTATTTCTAAGATCCAAGCAGTGAACAGTGTTGGACGCTCTCTACCTAGCCGACCTTCCTACCCAACTATAACTCTCAGAGAAAGTAAGAGAAAAATTCAGAATGCTCCGCGCTCACTGACCACATTTCAAGAGTGCTAGGACTTTATTATTGGACTGTTACCTTTAAGCCCTTGTCTAATCAAGAATGAATTAAATACATATTTTTTTTAGTTGAAAATAAAGTGTTTTCAATTGTGTATTTTCTCTATTAAAGTAAATTGCGTATTTAAATAAGATATTAAAGGAAATATAGTCAGAGCTGAAAACTGTAGAATGAGATATCCTTAATCACAATTACTTAATCTGAGTATCCAATTAACACACCGTTCTTTCTTGGATATTGTAGAGAAAAATCGAAAACCGGTTTTTCTTAATTAGAGAGTTCCTCCCATTTCTGTATATAATCTTAAATGAATTTTATACACTTTTCAGGGCGAAAAACGACTTTATCATTGTTACTTAGATAGGTGCTTATAGGGTATCGTAATGAATCGAAAATACCACTTTTCAACTGGGGAGTCTCTTAAAACTACGTATACAGTCCCATTATTAATCAACATTATTATTATCAAGAATTATAACAATTGTTAGTTTATCTTTAAAATACTTTTTCATTTACGTCGTACTTTAAGATATGTGATTTAGATTTACTACTTTAAGCTTATTTAACTAATTAGTATTATTTAGTAAAATATTAAACATAATGCGTAATTAGTAATTGGAAAATGTGTGATTAAATATTTGTATTAACAAGTATAAAACTTAATATTCCTATTTATACCCGTTGATACACAACTAAATAGAATATTATAATTAAACGTCTGAATCAAAAAAATTTGTATTTTTTATAGACACTGTCGTTGTCGTCATTAAAAAAAATAAGCTTTGATTATAAGAGAAACAAACCTAATCTAAACCTTTTTCTGATCAAGCAATAATTTCCATCTATGTGTACCTTTGTAAAAGTCTCTTTAAAGACTACACATATATATATATATATAATAGAATTTGATTTCAACCTGTTCTTTTTGCATTCCCCTAATATTTTGTTTCGAAATTAGGATGTCGACAAGAGAACATTAATTTAAGATTCTTGAGTAAGTTTTCTTCTCATTCTTTTGAACCCGTGATAATAAGAGCAAAGGTTTTTGTCCAGTTTTCCAGCAAATAACCCTACAATTAATCTCGCCGGTTTTTCTTTTATGTCTGAGGGGGAGGAGGTACGAGAGGGGGTAAATAAGCTGAAGAGAAAGGGGGGAAAAGACTAAGATGAAATTTCTCTACACATGAGAAGAAAGGGCAGAAAGGGAAACATATATTTTACTTAATGTAAACGAATTCTTGTTTTTTTTGGTATGATTTTTAAGAAATACAAAAAAAAACATTTTATTATGACTCACTTTTTCAGAACCGTCGGATAAACCCCAAGTAACAGCAGCACACAATACTTCATCTACTACAGTCTACTTGGAGTGGACTCCACCCCCTCCCTTGTCTTTACATGGGGAGTTTCAGGTATACTCCATTTACTCCAGTATATATATAAAGAGAGGACTCCACAGGGTCCTTATCATTACATGGGGAGTTTTAGGTATACTTCATGTACTCCATATAATTAGAAAGGACTCCACCCAATAGTCTAATCTTTCCTTTCCGATTCTTTGTACCCCCCCCCCCTTACTGACCTTTCCCCCTTCAATCTTCCCTTCCCTTTTCNCCCCCCCCTCCTTCTTCTGACCCTTTATATGTTAACTACCTTCGTATCCCCCCTTCTAGTTAATTGAGTCCGGTTCTAATGAATTAATTGATTAATCAACCCCTCAATTAAGTAATCCATTATTCAATTAAGTATTTGGTAAATATTACTGTTCTAGGGCTACATTATATCCTACCGTCCCCGGGATACCAAACCAACCGAAGCAAAAGAAATCAATATCCCAGATCATAAAAAGAAGGTAAACACAGTTTCTATATTTTTATGATATAATGAGTCACTAATGAAGCAAAGTTCTAATCAACAGATTCCCCTTTCATAATACTAATCATTCTGAAACTGAACAGTGAACAACTGTCACAAACTCTAATCTTATCATTTCTATATCTTTGCAACCTAATGGAGTAAACTTCAGAATTCAGAGTTTGAAATATCAATAGATCTACGATATTGTAAAGATTCAAGGATTAGAAGGAGAGTAATCAGATCCTTAAGCTTAGTAGTGGACAAACTACAATTTTGTCAGTCCAAAAATGGGTTCCTTTAGAGCCCCCTCCCCTGTATACGCATCTGCTCCTTCTTACGTTTTGAAATTAACAAAAAGATAAATTTTGATTAATAAATAAGATTTAGATATAAACGACTGAACAAATGAATGTAAAAGGGAAACAATACCCACAAGATCTGAGTTTTTGATAAACTTTTTTAATTATGTTTTCTACTTTTGCTAAAATCTCTCTAAACGGGCCCCAGATGGTTTATTTGTCAAGGTTTGCTAGAAAAAAAGTCTAAAGAACTGAAAACTGGGAATATGAAAACTTTTTTCATTATTTCTTTTCCCCGAGAGAAGGGATGGGTTTACTTATATCTCCTTGCACGCAATAGGAATTACAGGGGAGGGGGGGGGGGCAGAACATTTCCTGACTCAATAAATCTGTTCATTAATGATTTTCAGCAAATTATCAAAAACTTCATAATTTATCAAATCCGGTTTGAACAATTTATTTAAAATATTTGTCTCGAAGTCAGAACTGTTGTGAAACTAGGAATTAAGCACTGATCTCCATCTTAAGCTTTGACTTAGGGATTATTTAATTCCTTTTCAATATTCCATGGTGGTGATACCCTGCAGGGATAACTTTTAATTGAGGGATAAAGCATTCTTTTCCCAATTTAAGATCGAGTGTTCCCATTGGATATCGAGATCAAGCAAGATGAACGATACGATCCATACAAAAGTTCCGATCCCATCGTTCATTTTTCAGAAATAAGAAACATTTGATTTGATCTTTTCCTTAAGTTATGATTTTTATCGAAAGATCATTGAGCTAGTGGGTGAATACTAAATTAGGAAAAGGAAAATTATGAAAAAGATGAGATTAAATGGAAAACAGAAGGAAACTTATAATTTTTTTTTCTTTTCTGCAACAGAATATTAATAATTCGGATTTATTAAATCATAATTATTTATTAAACTTTTATCAACTTTTCTTTCTTGTAATAGGTAGTGAGGGAGTGGTTAGAGGCGGAAGGGGTAGGATGGGGGTAAATTAAAAGATTATATTGTTTCTAAGAGTAATATTTGGTTGAAGGAGGTTGTTGTTATTTCTACATCTGAACAGTAAAAAATTTGCTTAAAAATTGTCTACACTCATCTAATTTTTACAAATTTTCCTGAAAAAAATAAACACTGATCTTCAAATTGGAATGTCTTTCTAATTTTTCTTTTCTTTTTTTGTTGTTGGATAGAACGAAGGAGGGAGGATGTGAAAAAAATAAACACTGATCTTCAAATTGGAATGTCTTTCTAATTTTTCTTTTCTTTTTTTGTTGTTGGATAGAACGAAGGAGGGAGGATGTTGATGGTCGAATTGCATCCAGGAGAATATCCTAAGTATTCCTCGCGTACTCTCTACATAGATTAATATTAAGCTTGATTTATTACCTTTTCACACTTTATAATATACATTTACTCCCCCTCTCTCCCATCCAACCCTCATCCACTCCATCCCTCACTCCCTCTCTCTCATCCAACCCTCATCCACTGCATCCCTCACTCCCTCTCTCCCATCCAACCCTCATCCACTCCATCCCTCCCTCCCACTCTCCCATCCATCACAAAAAGATAAATTTTGNCCCTCATCCACTGCATCCCTCACTCCCACTCTCCCATCCAACCCTCATCCACTCCATCCCTCCCTCCCACTCTCCCATCCAACCCTCATCCACTCCATCCCTCCCTCCCACTCTCCCATCCATCCAACCCTCATCCACTCCCTCCCTCACTCCCTATTTCCCTCTCTAATAATCTATCTATCTAATAAACTGTTAATATTTCAGACTTTTATTAATTTGAAATATCAAAGGTCTACATTGGGTTGCAAAGATTTAGGAATTAGAAAATCAGAGTTTGGGGCAAAAACTCAATTGATTTTTCAAACTGAAGTTGGAAACAAAAAATACATGTATTGGGCTACTAAAATGTAAACTATATTAAGGTAAAGGAAAGACGCTGAGACATGAGATCCGGTCATAAAAATGAATGAATAACTTCTTTAGCTCCCTCTTTTACAAAATATGACAACCTGAAGTTTTTTATTGCGAAATTTTCTTGAATCTAAACTAATTTTACAAAGTATTAAACATGCTTAAACCTGCAGCTTATCATCTTTTAAATCTTAATAAATAAGACTGAAAATAATCAGAACAGTAGCTGTCTGAAAAATCAGAAGCTTCTGTCTTTTTTATTCACCTGAAAATGAAAAAGAATATTAAATGATTTACAAGAACTAGGACTACTGACCACCCCTCCAACCCCCCCTTTCCATACTGGGACAGATAAAACCTTTTTTGGGTTTCTGTGTATTAAAAGTCCCCAAGCTCAAAACCCGTATGCAACTGCTTCAGTGATCCAAAGTCAAGTTCACACGCAAAATTTTTTGAGAACTTTGCCAATTACTTCTTAAAAACAATAGATAAAAACAAGATTACGACACTTTACAGTCGACCCAGTCTTTAATATGGATGACACTTTTCTGAGTAGTCTGGATCAATGTGGCTGTAGTTGAGCATTAAATTAACAGTAGTTGATATACTCTTTTTAACTCTTTTTAATACTAACCTTAACTGAAAGTAAGTCGGTATTTCCAAACTGAATGAGTTAAGAAGGGGGGTAGGNGGTGGGGGGGAATTTCATTGTTCTCTTGTATGCTTAGCGTGTGCTTGAGTATGTATATTTTCGTATATAATACGTGGATTCTGTACACTGTATACTGTATACTTTACACAGCTTTCTGTTTATTTAAGTTTTGGATTTATAAATTTTGGTTTCTGTAATGCAAGAAGTGGATTTAGTATTTTGAGTATCCACAAAATGTACGTTCCGTTCATTGGAATAGGTTCCACAGTTTATCAGATGTTTTGCCGGCGATTCAAGCCTATATAAATTAGACTAGATAGCTAATGTCGTCTTCACCATATCAGAGTATTTCAGCTGAAAATATGAATTTAGCTATTTACTATAGCTACATTCGGCCATACATGGTGCAATGAATTTAAAGAGTTGTGGCAAGTATTGTTCATGATCCGTAGTCCGTACACATTTTGGGGTGTTTTGTTTCATATAGAGGACCAGTAATACATAATATTCAGAGCCCAAAACTGAAGACAGAGCCCAAAACTTAAGACAGGGTATCGTTATGAAAATCAGTTTTGAAACCCGGGTTTCAAGAATGGGGTTAGGCAGTTTTGTGGATATCAATATTTTTGTTGTGAAATATTATTTTATTAAGTTTCTTCATATTCTACATTTTTTAAAATTTCTTAAATCAAAATCTACACAATTGCCAAGACCCCAAAAAGGAAACTCGGGAGTTTCGTTCAACGATACTCTTTTAAATTTCGGGCTCAGGGTATCGTTATGAAAACCAGTTTTGGAACCCGGGTTTCACGGATGGGTTTAGGCAGTTTTGTGGATATCAATATGTTTAATATGAAATATTATGCCATTTGGTTTCTTCATATTATCCATTTTTTTCGAATCTCTTAAATCAAAATCTACTCAAAAGACCCCCAAAAGGAAACTCGGAGGTTTCGTTCAACAATACTCTTTCAATGTTCGGGCTCTGAGGAACATGATACTGATCAGTTAAAAAAAAATTTCTACAGATTGACCCCCAGAAGTAAAACGTATTTGTTGACCTTTTTGTTTGACGAGTTTATGATGTACAAGGGTTGTACAATTTTCAGCTTTATAGTTTGCATCAAGGAGAATTGAATACAAGGAGGGGACAATAGGGTTTCCGTACTCTTTGCTGTGACGTATTTGGACTGCTGGAGAACTAGTTTTTGCGTAACAACAATAATAAAGGTAGCCGATCTAATGTAAACAAACATGAGTTATGTATACGGTGAATCTTCATCTAACGCCAGAGATGCACCAAATGTCTGTTTATCATTTGTGTTGCTGTTTACAATCATTATTATTGTTCTGTAAAGCAAAGTGTAAGGAAACCCTTCCTTTTCAAGTATTTTATAGTTTTATGGATCCCGCTTTAATATTAAAAGGTCTTAAACTTTACGATGTATAATTGAGAGGAAGGTCGACAAATATTCTGGAGTTTAAATTTCAACGCTTGCAGGCCAAATTAATCGAGATAACCAAATCCAAAGTTGAACGTTTTTTACGAAAGACAAAATCTGCACAACTTTAACATATTTTATAATAAAAATTAGGCTTTGACGAAAAAATTTCAAAACATAAAGATAAGTTGTTTGGTAAATCCAATCTACTAGTTTACATATTTTTTATTTTTTAGAAATAAAAAAATGTGTTTTTACCAAAAGAAAAGGCATGTTAGTTAATTTAAAATTCCAAATCCATCTTTTGAAAAGTATTCACGCTAAAATCTTTATAAATACTGATTTTACGTAGTTAAAAGTTAAACGTAGACTTGCTAATTAAGAATTTTTTTTAATTAGTTTCAAAGTAAGACATTTTAATTTTAGCCTAACTAATTAACAGGCGCATCATATGGAATACAAAAGAAGTTTAATTTAGCATAAAATGTGGGGAACATTTTTGTAAATTAAGCGACGAGAGTATTTACGCAAAATCATATATTTCTTTAATCAGTTCTGACGGGCTTTTAAGTGTTGGGTTTAGTTCAATAATCGTCCGCGGTAATTCAGATGTCTTGAATTGTGAGCAGACCTTCACATTCTTACCCCCCCCCCTCTCTCGTTCGACTGTATATTTCTTGTACTGTATGCTGTATACGTTTAATATTAAAGTACAGGGTTTACCACAAAGGATGAGACCACAGTCTTTTTCTTTCCCAAATTTTGTAGAGACCACTTGAAGGATTTATTCAAGGTAAAAGGCTCAATTTGACCGTCAAGTTGTAAAATTTCACGAGTGTTTTGTCGGCATTAAATTCCCTTCCTTTTTGGGTAATCCTTATATAAGGTTTATAACGAATGGTTTGATGAAATTTGAAAACGTCACAAACATGTATATACAGCCCGCGTACAGCTAGGTTTTAGTGGATCATTGAAAATCCGATCAAATGCTAAATTATGAATAAAAATGCGCTTCTTTAACCAAAAACAGAATACTATTTTTATGTTTTTATTCTAAAAGTTGATGAACCACAAGTTGAAAAGTTGTTTCTAATTCACATTTTACACATTTCCTTTCTAAGTTTGAACTAGAAATATGCAAATGTATCTATGGCCCTTGTGGGGCTCTATAGTGTCCTGTTTCAACAAAACTTTCTCAAACAGGAAATTCAAGTTGTGGAATAATTTTACAAACTAATTTAAAGGAAAATTTTAAAATTAATCCCTGAAGTAAAACATGGCTAACGTCAGCAATTTTTCCCCTAAGAAATTGAGTCTTACCAAATGCTCTGATTTGCTATCCCAATATCTTTGCAACCCAATGTCATAGACTTTAGATATTTCAAACTGTGAATTCTGTTAGATAAAATAATCTAAGTTTGAAATATCAAAGGGTAAACCAGCAGGTTGCAAATATATAAGGATTATATCATTTGATGTGTGGCAAAGCCTCAATTCCTTTAAGGACATATATTTCGTAAAAAATGTGTTAACAGTTCTTAAGATCTCACATTCATTAATCATTAAAAACCAGCTCTAACTCTATCTTTCTCAAATCCAATCAAATTCTGTCTAGCCCCTACACACCAGACTAACCAGAGTGAAAAGCATTCGGTTTCTTATATTTGAAATCAAACGTGTATTGGTCTTTAATTCAATAATCATTTACTTTACGGATTTGTTTATTTTATACATTTTCATTCAAAATGCATATGCCAACAAAAAGGTATTTAGTCGAAAAGGCTAACAAATTTCGTTTAATGGGTCAAATTGTAATCGAAAGTCACAGCTTTCTGGAATATTGACAGAACCGTTAAATCCACGTGCCTACCGCCCCAACCCTACCATCCCCTTCTTCTCCCCCTGCCCCTTCACCCCCTTTATCCTAGCATAATCCAGGATTCCCTTGAGACGTTTCAATATACACAGACACAAACTCAAGAACAATAATATTCAAATTCCTGCGAATTTGTGAATATTTATCAGACACGGTTTAAACAAAAAAAGATATATAGATAAGACGCTGTAGACGTAATTTCACATGATTCTCCACTGTTTAATTCACAACCTTACTCTTTATTTCAAACCTCTATGTGAATAAGGCAAAACTTTTGCTTTTCTATCTAAAAAGAGTTGAAATCATAAAATTTCCTTCATTATTTCTACATCATACATCCGCATGAAACTTTTTTTTAAATGACAATTAATCTAATTAATTTTAAGATGGATGATAAGGATATATCAGTACGTATCGTAATGAATCTAACATTCCACTCAATAAATTACGCTTACAGTTCTCTTTATTTTAGAGTTACACAATCGAGGGTCTCTCCGTGTTCACCCAGTACCTGGTGTCCATCAAGGTTTATAATCCTGAAGGAGCTGGACCTGAAACCATTGTGGTTGTTATGACAGACGAAGGAGGTAAGTTTGAAGTTAATGTTGGAGTTTATTTTTCATTCTTAAATAGTGAAAAGTCAAACGCATTTTCCAAGTCCAAATTTGGATTTAGTAATTTAGACAATTGAACCGTTTACTTAAGAAATTATAGTCAAAGCTATTTTTTGTAATATATATTAATATTTTCAACCCTTTTTAATAAGTTTTATATGGACAAAAGCTTTTTTGGTAACATTTAAAGGGACTGTAGGGACAATTTTGGGTGAGCCTCCATATATTGCGTAGAATGTCCGTTACACTTTTAAAGCCTAGTATGCTCAAGAAAAAATGAGATATTAATGTTTTAAAATTTGAAAATTGATTATATTCTAAATTGCGGGTTGTCTATAAAAGTGACTTTTGGATTTTTTCATCAAGAGCGTTGGAGTAAATTATTAGAATTGATAATTTTTCAAGCTAGATATTACATTATTTATCAGATTAAGGTTTCAAGGGTACCATAAACATATATATCAAAATAGAAAATCAAATATTTTCTGATATAAGTAATATCGCCAATCGCTATTCATTATTTTTTTTGAGGCCATTATTCACCAACTTAAAAAATGCTTAAAATACCTATCTTACATAATATATGATAATTTTTTACTCAAATTTGAAAATTAGAATATAAAATGTTTATTTACAAACAATGGGAACAATTCCTTTGAATATGCATATATTACGATCTAAAAATGATAATATTTCAGCTCCGTCTGTACCTCGTGAGATGAAGATATTAAAGGTTACAGATACTAGTATTCAGATCTCATGGTGGGAACCTGCCAGACAGAACGGAATACTCCAGGTACTAGATACGACTGACAGAACGGAATACTCAAGGTACTAGATACAACAGACGGAAAGGAATACTCCAGGTTCTGACTTTTCCTAAATACCCATAGTCCTCCCTTTAGGTCTAAAACCGGGCTTTTATTCTAACTGCCTGAGTCCTCAGCCACACTGCTTAAATGACTAATTTTTCCTGTAGCAAACTAAATCTTTGTTTTGACCCACTTTCCGTTGTCAGATTTTGATAATTTTTAGCTTTTTAGAAAGCCTATGAAATAAGAAAACGGATTGCACAAGGTTTCCGAAGAAATTTGCAAATTATTAGGATTCAACCCGTCATAAGAAATTTACACATTTTTAGTTTTTCATAATTACACATCAGGTTTTTAAAAAAATTTGCCTATTTGAAATGGCATGGTCATGGGCTAATTAAAAATGTATATTTTATAATTTTTTAGACATTTTTTTTGCAAACACTTTTACTATATATTTGAATTTTGCCAATAAAAATTCAATTTTTGCAAAGAAATTGAGTCTTTGCCACAAACTCTGATTTCTAATTTCTATATCTTTGCAACTCGATGTCACATGACCTTAGATATTTCAAACTTCAAACCCTTCTAGATATGATAATCTAAGTTTGAAATATTAAGGGTTTTCATCATCAGGTTGTCAAGATATATGGATAAGAAAATCAGTGTTTGTTGTTAAGATTCAATTCCTTTGCAAATATTTTAGTATATTCTAAAAGTAGAGCATAATAGCTTTCCAATGACGTATCATTTGTCATATTTAAACATCAAACATGGGAATTAGAGGAGGGGGGGGGGGNGGGTATTCTGGCGTATCCTGGTTTTCAAGCACCCCAGTAGGGATAGGGTTAATTTTCAGTAAGGAAAAATATGTTTTCAAAATTTTAAATGAGAATTGTTTTGAAACTGGCGATTCTATAGAATGGAAAGCTAAATTTTGATTTTGATTCAAGTTTGATTAATAATTCATAATTCTTAATGAATACTGATCAAGAATTCAATTAATGAAGAACAGATACAGAATTAGATATGAGATTTGAATGAGTCCATAATTAAAAATTAAAAATTAGTTTTACTACATAAGTCATTTACAAAATTATTGCTAAACGTCTGCACCGCAATAGTTTTATTGTAGTTGGGAAACTTATTAGAATCAACTGCAAATCAAGATTAAAAAGAGCACCACTAAGAATTCTTATTGGCATGAGATGTCACTTATATCGATATTCTCTTTAATTTAATAAATTAATTCTTTATATTTGATTTCAGGGTTACCGAGTTTACTTCCGGTCTGGGAATCTAACGAGTGTACAGTCTGTAGCAGACAACAGATCTGCAGTTTCAGAAACTCTGAAAAATCTGAGTAAGTGAACTAGACAGTAGACTTACAGGGTTACCCTCAAATGTTAATACTTCAAAGACTTCAAAGAATTGGGCTGTCCTTTTGTATATATGTATGTACAGTAAACAACATGGTATACCAGTTACATATATTTTTCTTTATGTACAATACCGCAATACTATACCAGTTGCATATCATTACAGCAATACGGCAACACGGCAGTACCAGTTATATATATATATGTGCACTATATATAAATACCTCGAGAATTTGTATAAACAAAGCCCTTATATATGCAATATAATGTTAAACTAATTTAACTAAATTGGATAATTTGTAATAGAGAAAGTAGAGGGGAGGGGAAAATTTACTCCAAGTTATAAATTGTGTGTGCTTCTCAGAGCAAATTACTTTATATAAAAGTTTTAAATCATTTATTTATCGCAGTTAAACATTGATGGTGTTGACAGAGGGGGAAATCCCTAATCATGCTTTCAATCATCTAATCAATATATGCATAAACCTCTACTAATTGGTGTAAACTCAACCCTCGCAAAATTCACGCTAAACCACACGCAAGCGTGTACTCAGTCTTCTTGTGTACTCATCTAGGGGTGTGTAATTAGTATTAGTCCAATATACAGGTCGGAGTCAGGCAAATAATCCATCAGGAATACTTTAGGGATCTTCAGGCTTTCAACTTATTCACTTCTAAGATTAAATTATCTTATTTCCCAAAGCACTCACTGATTGTTTATGAATTTAAAGGGAGTGTACGGAAAAAGTTAAGGGTTTAGAATGATTGGGAATAAAATTTTGTATTGTTTTGAAATAATTTTATTACTGTCCGAAGGAAATTGAAACCGTTTCCGAGAAAATCATTCATATTTCTTAAATCAAGTACAATTCAATCTGTTAATTATAGTAGCTTACTGGACAATGTTAGTGGAATTGCGAAGTTTGTCATGTGATTTGCTTTGCAGAAATATAGTTCGAATTAGCGAAAAAATCCGCCAAACCGTGGTTTCTGAGAAAAGAGACAAAGAGTTAGCTTGGGACATTCTCGCGCTCATGAACAGCTTTTAACAACAAGATATGCTTAGTTGAGGTCCTAAATTTAAATATTTTTATATTTTGAAATAGGTAAACACTGAACGGTCCCTTTAAGGTAGTTTTAACATTACAGAATTCAAAATGATCTGCTGAAATTTATTTATATTTTAGAGCCGTACACCCGGTATGATGTGTGGGTGAGAGCTTTTACTGCCAAGCACGAGGGCAAACAGACGGAGATTTCAACGGTCTGGACGGATGTGAGACCACCAGGACCACCGGAAATAGGCAATCAATCAATAAATCAATCAATCTTTTTATCAGGAAGTCAATTAATTCAGTCAATCAATCAATTAACCAAACTTCCAACCAATTAATCCACCAATCAATCATTCAATACATCATCAGATCAAAAGATGAATTGATCATAGATCAATTCATCAATTCAACATAGATAACAAAAATAACTGCTAAATGAACTAATAGGTAGATTAAAACATTGATTTTGATCAATCAGTCAATTAAAAAGTTAAACCATCTGAAACTGATCTTAAAATGCATCATAATTATGCACATATAAAGTAGTAATCCCTGTTATCTATTTTGGTTTTCATTTGTTCGTTTGTTTGTATGTCCGATTATAACTCAGGAATTCCCTGACCTTTGCCTCAATTTTTTAATTGGGAAATCGGTAGAACCACGGAAATGTTTTTAGTCTGGTTTAAAAATTCTAAGTTAAGCTTAGGTTGACTTTTTTAGAAACAGATTAAATTGCCAGAATCTATATTTCTGTAAACATTTTCCATATTTTTCTTTTTCATTTTTAACGTATAATTCAGCTGAAAATTAAAGATCGTTTTCCCAGAAATAAAATATGAGCCAATTAGCTGGATAACAAATGAGAGATTTTATTATAATTAATGCACCGCAGCAGCTGGATAATTTATACATTCATTTATCTTTACTGCAAATTGATTACTAATTGCTTGATTCAGGGTGTAATAATTGCATGCATTATTGCATTAAAAAATCATTCAAAATTACAAGAACAAAAAAAGCATACTTAAACTTATCATAATCTTATTTGATGATTAAAAACTGAAGAAAAAAATATGTATACCTTTTTAAAAATTGCACTAAAACCTCGATATAAGATTTAAAGTGATTGATTACGATGTTTGAAGTATCCCTCACGTGTCAATCTGGGAACACAATGTTTGTGAAGTGGATTCGTCCAAAACTTTTCTTCCGAACCGTTGATGTTTACTATGTGATGTACCGAGGGCGTGTCCATGAAGGTGTACAGGGCGGAGTTGTCCAGGAGGAGGAGCAGTGGGAAGAGCAGATTGTGGAGACCGTCAACAATACCATCAACCACATGGTAAGCTAGTTTATTTTCATACTATTTTATAAGAACTGAATAATTACCTAAAACTCTGATATTTAATTCTTATATCTTTAAACCTGATGTTGTAGGCCAATAATATTTCAAACGATTAATGTTGCTACAAATCAATATAGTCACAGTTTGAAATATCAAACGATTATAAACTCAACTTGTTAAGATATTGTGATTAGAAAATTGGATTTCAAGGCAATTAATCAGTTTATTAAGTTATAATAAATACTTTTTATCCAACCATCAGGTCTGTCTAATTTATTTTGTACAGTATATATTTGTGATAGGATTTAAGTGAATAATTCATTGCAACTTGAAATTGATTCAACTTGAACTGGCGAGGTAAACTTTGCGATGGGATTGCAGTTTGAATTGCATTAACTGAACTGAAATGCAAATATTTCAATTTCACGCAAAATTAAGTTTGTTAGAACTGTATCGATATATACTCAAAAACACGTTTTAACAATTTGTAAAAGCCAAATACAAAGTATATACATTTGATGGGTAAAAACGGGGTTAAAATTGCCTAATTAATTATGGTTCTAAAATCCAGCTTAAGTTAGCACTTGCCACTTATATATATAAATTCCTGGCCTACCTTGATTTGATGGAATTGGAATTTAAAAAATGATCACTTGAGAAATTTTGAAGCTTTTGAAATGTTATTTAAAAGTATCCAACCAATGCCGGAATCATAATAACAGAATACAGTGGAATAAAAAGACAAAATCTTTTGTGTATTTTTTGTTGCCCGAGAGGACATGGTTTTAGTAGTTGCTTGAAGACAAACTTATTAAGTAAAGTGGGTTTAGGTAATTGCACAAATGCTGTGTTTTATGTTCATTAGACCATTTAAAATCGTAACTTGAGTTTAGTTTTTCTATTCCCCAGTATTCTGGGTTCCATTGTGACTACGGTCGTCGTTTATAAATACATACAATGAAATCACTATTTATTTAACTTGGATCAATTTTTCCAACGGCATGGATGCACATAAAATTTTGAAACAAAAAGAAGCTGTCATTTAACAGCTTCTCTTTGTTTACTTGTAAACTTGTAATTGGAAAAATGCTTGTTAGCTGTCAGGGATCACAGCATTATTTATAAAAAAAACGCCATCATTGTATTGATATAATCGCCGACCACTGTAGATAAATGTTTAGATGTACTTGAACAACCTGACCACAAACCTGGCATATGAGGTGAAGGTTAAAGCTGGAACTAGATCTCACATAGGTATATTAATCCATTCGTTTTTGGGTAGGTTTTCCTCTTTAATTTCTTTCGGGGTAAAAACTGGCAATAGTGCAAGAATAACAAATGTTTTCAAAATTGTTTATTCTAAATATTTGCACCTCCTTTACTATGTCAAAATTCGACCCTAACAGAAGAAATTTGCAACAAAAAAATTCAAAAACAATTTTAAAACTACATGTTGTAACGATTTTTTTTTCTTCGTTTTTCCAATTTTTTTGAGGATACAATTATTCCAACGTTTGATTAAAGGAAACATTAACAAAATACAATTTTAGAATCTTGGAAGTGTAAAAACAATTTTCTAAAACAATCTTAAAACGATCTAAAACGATATAAAAACGATCTAAAACGATCTAAAACGATCTAAAACGATCTAAAACGATTAACATGATCACATTTAGGGTCTGGAGAACTACATCTGGGGGACTGGTCTCCTGTTAGTGCAGTCTATCTACAACCTGGATGCGAGACTATGAAGGAAAACAACTTTTTGAAAATCTCAAATTATTATTCTTGGGAAAGATTAAATGCCCCAACACTTGTTGAGGCGGATCTTTTGTCAGAAAACTGATTGAGGTCGGATCTTTTGTCAGAAAACTGATTGAGGTCGGATCTTTTGTCTGAAAACTGATTGAGGTCGGATCTTTTGTCTGAAAACTGATTGAGGTCGGATCTTTTGTCTGAAAACTGATTGAGGTCGGATCTTTTGTCAGAAAACTGATTGACGTCGGATCTTTTGTGTTGAGTATTATTAATCTTGAACTCTTGATTTCCATATCCAATGTGGGTACTTTTAAATTTGAGGATTAATGCTTAATCCATCAATTAATGCTATCCCTGCAGGGTATGATCACCACGGGATATCGATGGGGAATTAAATAAATCCGCATGTTTACATTAGATGAAGATCAACGGTTGATCACAAGATTCACATACAAAAGAATATAATATAATATAATCTTATCTTATTAAAAATGAAATTTGAATTTCTAAAGATAAATTAATTCTCTAATACAATGAAGGTCTATTTAAACCTGGAAATTGTTAATTATACCTCTAACCCCTGAACCAACTCTACAGGGTATTAATTAATAAAATGCATGAATAAAAAGTTGTTTGATCAGGATTTTGTTCCAACCCGAACTGAGGATAAGATAATAGTTCTTAACCTGGAGGAACATCTCGGGATGATTGCAGGGATTATATGCGGAGCTCTGGGCTTGCTTCTCATCATTTTTGCAATTCTGATTTGCAGGTGGACATGGGTTTAAAGGGACTGTCGACGTAATTTTAAGAGTTAAATACTCAATTCACAACGGGCGTACCTTTTCAACCAGTATCAGTTTCAATCATTGTCTATTTTATCCATTTTGAAAAGAGATGAATAAGGTTTTTTTTGTCTTTTCTGCAAAATTCCACAACTGTCTCTTATAGAAAAACCACAATTTAAAATTAGAATCTTTAAATGCCGGGTCACGTTCGAAATTTTTTCTACAGTTCCTTGAAAATTTCATGTTATCATATGTTCATTGCACAATTTCCAAAGATATTATAATTCAAAAAAAAACCTTGGGTGGGGGGGGGGGGTAATAATTTTATCTTGATTATGTGTTTGTTAGTAAGTCATGGCTTCGCTGGTCAATATTAACGCATGCTCCTTTAAAAATTTTGATTTCTTAAAATAAAAATGATTACATTAAAAATTGTAAATTCTGCTCATTTTATTTATATCCAAAAATGAAGATAGCTTTTCCTCTCTTTTCTTTTATCTTTGAAATCTAAGTTCAATTTAACATTTTAATCAAGATTTTATTTGAAGTAAGACAATCAAGAAAGCAATAAACTCCATCTGTAGACTGTTCAGGTTTTAACCAAAATAAGAAAAGGTCACAAATTCTACGAAACTTCCATGTAGTTGATATTCTGATTTCAAAAAGGTTTAAAATTGCTTCTTTAATATTTTTACCTTTTATTTCCATGTTTCACCGGTAAACTCATTTTCTTTGTGCATTCTAAGAGCAGCTTTCGGAGATTTTCCTACTTTATGATGATTTAACACGACGTAATTATTTTGAAGTAACGGACTGATGTTTTTGACCTGCCAGATTCTACAACCAATAGGACGGATTGGTTTTGCCGTTTTTACGCTTATTAGATCCAAAGAAATCATGAAGCAGATAGCGCTCTCTATTTTAGAATTAATTTTTAGACGATACAACCAGGATTCATTCTACTATGAGAACGAGAAGTTCTACAGTCCTCCTCCAGGAGCAGTAGAAGCTGGTGGATGGGATCTAGGACATGGAGAAGATTCTAACCATGCAATACCAGTTCATCTCTTCCCCAAGCATGTTACAGATCTTCATATGAATCAGGTTTGCACTTCGTGTGTATGTAATGAATACTTGAGGCTGAACTTTCTGGAAAAAACTTATCATTTTGTTAATCATTTTGTTATTATTATCTGAGTATCGAAAGCATTTCAAATTATATATCTATAACCCTAGCATTCTGTTTGTAATTTCTACCAAAATGTTTGGAATTTCGAACAAATTGTTCGGAATTTCTAACAAAATATTCGTTATTTTTTTCAAAATTGTATTAATTTTTAAAAAAGTGTTCGTAATTTCTAACAATAATGTTCGTAATTTCAAACAAAATGTTCGGAATTTCGAACAAAATGTTCGAAATTTATAAATGCTTTTATTATGAACACAATATCAAGGGTTCTTAGCTAACAGTGTTTTCCTTCTAGGAGGTTGGATTCTCTAAAGAGTATGAGGAGATTCGAGCAGCAAGTTGTCTGGACGAGTTTGCGGCAACAGAAGCACAAAAACCAGATAACCTAGAAAAGAATCGATACCCAAATATCATTGCATGTAAGTTTAACAAACAAAAATTTTAAAATTTTCGGAATTTCTTCATTGAAAAAAATATAGTTTATATATTTCCTATTGTTTGTGTACAACCTATGACTATTGACTGAAGAAGTAGATTGGCCTCAAAATTAGCTGCCATTGGTTTCTTCTCTTTGGCTAGGTTTACTGGGAAAAGAAAATTACTGTTATATAAATGCATTGTTTACGGGGACTTATCAAAATAAACTTATTGTAGTTAAAGTGAACATATTCTCTAGTCCAATTTCATTATAAACAGTCTAGTTGATAAATGAGATAAATTGGATTGAGAAAGTTATATTAGTTCTCAATAGAAGATTTTAGAGAAGAATAATGGGTGAGATTACTCAATGAGACGACTGATACTTTACTTTGATTTCCTCCCCCTTCAGAAAAATTGTTTTCTTTCATATTGCTCTTATTTGATTAGCACTGATACGATGATCGAATATAATTAGAATATACAGTACTTCCGATTTTTAATAATGTATTTATAACTCTCATTATAAACGATTGATATATCTACTTAAATATAAAAAAAGAAATTATTTATTTAAAAAAAAGAATTTTGTTTTAAATTAATATTGTTGTAAAACATTTAAAGGATAGTTTTCGTAAAAAAGTTACTGAAATTATCCTCATTAGTTTTGAACAGTAGTTTTGAGTTTAAAAATATATTTATAATTTTTAACTTTTAATCATTTTTATTTAAGTTGATCATACCCGTGTTCGTCTGAGAACTCTAGGAAGAGATGGAAAGGTAAATAAAAATTGAAAAACAATATTTATATGCATAATTCAATTTCCTTTGATCAATTAATAAAAAAATGCTCTTTTTTCTTCGACAATTACTTACAGTTCCTAAGGGAACTGAACTCTTGCAATGAAGAAAAATTTTCTCATCCCTTTATCTTTGTAACCTGATGATTAAAACCTGTAATATATCAAAGTCTAAATAATTATCTTTCAGATAGCAGAGTTTAAAACCAGGTTGCAAAGTTATATAGGGATCAAATTATTAAATTTAGAGTTTATGACAAGTATTAAATTCGTCTCAATTTGTTTGGTGTAAAATAATGTACTTCTTAGGTCAAGGAGAAGAATGAATATCTGAATGCTAACTATGTAGACGGATTTAGGAAACCCAGAGCATATATTGCAACTCAAGGTCAGTTATTAAAATAAGTCTCTTAAATAAATACAGGTCTAAACTTTTAAATCTGTTCAAAAACGCGCTCTCATTCGTGTAGGTTTTATTTAAGTTGTTAGACCTCTTTTTTCAATAATTTTTAACCAGCTAACTCCTCAAAGTTAAATTAAAATCCTTAAAATTAAAAGCTTACACCGTGGATGTCAAATTCATTTGAAGTGTTTAAGCACTATCCTAATCATCTTCCCCCCCCCCCCCACCGTGTCAAAATATGGACATTCTACATATCAGGGTTTTTCCTAATTCCCTTAAAGAAATTAGATTTATAGAAACTAAAGCTTTACATTTATGAGATTCAGAATAACATGGAAATACAGGCTGGTTGATAAAATGTAACCAAGGACTTAGTCGTCCCGATCTAAATAATTGATGCATAATTTTCATATGCCTTACTAAAAAGTTACAATTTGAACATTTAATATTTTTTATTCTAATTTCTTTAAACGCTTTATAAAAACTAAGTTAGAAATTCAGGATTTTACTTGGAACACTAATTAGCTATTCTGTGTGTAATGCTGTTACTTAATTATTTTTTTATAAGTATATATATTGTGAATATCGGCCCTCCTCAAATCCTCATTCTATAAATCTCTTTTATATTAAAATGTTATTTTGAACATTACCGTTTTTATTAAATTTTACACTTTTCATTTCCTCTGTCTTCCTGTTGTGAATATTCAATGCTTTTATTTCAAATAAAGTCCTATATTGAATTTTTATGAGAAAACTGTTAGGATTGAGTTCTTAAAATTTTCCATATTTTTATAAATTTAAAATTTTTTCCCAAAAATTTAAGTTTTTTTTGGGGGGGGGGAGGGGGATTAGAAATTTTTCTGGTAAAAAGTGTTTGTCAAAACTATCAAATTTTTTTTTGACATTTCTATGTTTTCAGATCCAAAAAAAGGAACATTTCGAACATTTTTCCTTTTATATTTTTTCATTGACACTTTTTGATGCTGTGGACCGTTGACATTCCAAGTTTAATAATAGTTTTGTAAACAATTATACTGTTGTATAGGTCCCCTGGAAAGTACAACTGATCTATTCTGGAGTATGATTTATGAGCAGAATATCTCTATTATACTGCTGTATAGGTCCCCTGGAAAGTACAACTGATCTATTCTGGAGTATGATTTATGAGCAGAATATCTCTATTATTGTTATGATTACTCACCTCTTTGAAGGGGGCAAGGTAACTTAATTGCTTTATATTTTTGTCAGCTTAAATGCCTGTCTGTTAAATATTAATATTTTTGTATAAGCATAATAAATAATAAAAATTGATTAATTTGATTAATTTAAAGTTGGTCATGAAGGAAGAAACACTAAGCACTTTCATATCTCTCTTTACCTAACAAGTGTATTTTAATTTTTACATGTAATAGTGTAAACAAATTCCTTATTTTATAACTAAATATATGTATGTTAGTGCCTGGTTTACCTTTCTTGGCTTGTTTAAGATTTTGAATTATGGCCTTCAATTGATGAATAAGGATTTTAACTTGTTAAATCAGCATAAAGTCTCGGCTCAATGATTGAGTGATTGTTTAATCATTGAAGCAATTTGCTGTTTGAATGATTAATTGATTGGTTGATTGATTGTATTGTGTCCAGGTAAAGTGTGACATGTACTGGCCGGAGGAAGGTGAGGGAGACTACGGAGACCTAGCGGTCAGACTAGAGAGAGAAGATGTACTTGCCTTCTATACACTTAGGTACAACTTTTCAACAAATCATCTCTGGCATTGGAAAAAAATCTAAATGGTTTTAAAGGGACTGTAAGCGTAATATTAAGTGCCCTCTATACAAAAGGCGAATGCCGATTTATAACGTTACCCTTTAAACCTTTGACAGATAATCAAGGGCAGAGAACTCCGTGTATGTATCTCTGAAATTATGTTAAAATTTCCATAAAACTGGAGTGTATGCAAGCGTGCAGTGTGACTCAACTTAGCTGATGTTATACATGTTTTCCTCGAAAATTCAGAATATTCTTTGTTCAACACGGTTTTCAAAAATTTAATTTTCTGACACTTCTAGAAAGTAAATATTAATAGTTCTTAAATAAAGAACGCCTTTTTTTAATGTTTATTATTTTTTCCAAATTTAATTTTTACCAGTATAGAACAGCTTTAAAAAAGATTTCAATAATTAAAAGCGTTTTCTCCAGATAAAAAAGGAGAGGTCCGTCATACTTAAACAGTCAAAGGTTTAAATGTTGTGAATTGAATAGATGGTCACTTGTAATTGTTTCAAACCCTTTTCATCAACTGGTGTTGGAAAAGTTTAAAAAATCAATTTATGTGTTTAGGACATTCACCCTGCGAAGTAAACTAAGCCAAGGGAAGAAGAATAAGGTATTTTTGAAAATTCTTTCTGAAAGTTCTAATCTGGCTTTTTATAAAAATAAATTATTCGAATCCCATTTTATTCATGGCACTAATTATGGCATTAATTATGTAAATGCCCAGTGTGTGTAAAGTAAAACAGTTCCTATTGCAACATAATTTCATCATAAAACAGATTTCATATTGTAAAAAGTATTAAACGCAATCCTAAATAGAATTTATTCATGTAAATTAATTTAATTAAAAAATGTGTTAAAAGTACTTTAAATTTTGTTGTTCCATATTTATTGCATTCTAAAATCTGTAGAATTAATGTTAAAATTGCAATGAAATGTTGAATTTTTTAATAAAATAGGGAGAAAAGAAGACTCGAACCGTGTACCAGTATCATTACACGGCCTGGCCTGATCACGGGGTTCCTCTTCATGCTTTACCTCTCATCACCTTCGTTAGAAACTCAGCAGCTGCAAATACGGATAATACAGCTCCTATAGTTGTACACTGCAGGTAAAAAGCAGTTACTATGTTTAAATTTTTCCCGCCATTTTTATTTAAGTTGTCGGTCATTTAATTTTTTTCTCGCCATTTTGATTTTTTCCTACCATTTTTTGTTTTTTTTTGTCCATTTTATTTTGTCCATTTTAAATTTTGTTGTCGGATGATTGAATACCTTCCTACAGTTTTTAAATATCTATATGCTACTTTATATTCTGTATGTTTACTCCATTACAATATAGTTCACTAATATATGTCCAATATTTATAATATAGAAATATTTATGACCAGTATAATATTTTATACAATACTAAATCTGTTCAAGCCATCTGCTGCACCCTATTCCACAGTAACCCTACACACAATACAATCCATTATATTTATATTTTCTTGAAAGACAATTTGTATTCTAAACTAGAGAGATTATTCTTCTGACTATAACTACCAGTACCTACTGAGTAATATAACTGCAATCCCAAATATTGACTACTAATAATTAATAATTAGACAATACACGGATTAAAGTAACAAATTGAGTAGTGGGCCACAATGTAAACAAATTTAGTAGTGGGCCACAATGTAAACAAATTTAGTAGTGGGCCACAATTTAAAGAAATCAATTGTTAAGTGTAGATTCCAGGGTTGTTTAAGTATTTAAGTAAAATTTTTTATTTTTTCCATCGAGAAGTTGCTTTCCAAATATGTTGTTTTCTTTTCTTGTCTGTAGAACTGTTTTGATTAAGGTGTCTAAAATCTAATTAAGATATCCTGCAGTTCATTCATTAACTAACCTGGGGGAGCAGGATTAGGTGGATTAGAGTAGAGTAGAGTAGAGTAGAGTAGAGTAGAGTAGAGTAGAGTAGAGTAGAGTAGAGTAGAGTAGAGTAGAGTAGAGTAAAGTAGAGTAGAGTAGAGTAGAATAGAACAGTTCACTATTCCTTCTTTGCCAACATTTACTGTAAGCTCTCCCTTGGGAACTTGTAATCTTTAAGCCTAACTCATGTTCAATACAAGGCTAACAATTTAAAAAGAGTTTATGATAAATTGTTGTTGTGTGGATGCAACCTTGGAGAAATATTTATATATAGGGTTTCTGAAAACATGTATCCCTTAGTTCAAGAGAAAGTTTTGTAAGGTTATGCAAACTCCTACTTTATAGAGGAAAGTTTAACAGCTACAATTGTATCCAGTCAATTTCTGAAAAAAATCTTTCCATTCTTTCCATCAGAAGCAAGAGATCAAGATTTTTCATATCATTTACATTTTGACATTTTATTAAAATTACAATGTGATGTCCATTGATAAATAACACAGATGGAAAATTAGATGTCATCATTTCAAGATTCAGGGGTTTTCAAATTCGGTTATATTTGAGAGTATGAGACACTCCTGGTTGAATCACTAGGTAAGTATGAGCAGTGAAGTTTTACAAAATTTTTAGCGTGAAAATCCCACATTTTTTGCTGTCGATGATCGGAAAAAGTTTGAATGGTTCCATTGTGAATCGGAAATGTCGCATTAAATTACATCTACTGTTCCTTTAGGTTGATAAACCAGAAAACCCTCTAATATTTATATTCTCTGTAAATTACGGTTAAATCTCAATCTTCTCATCAGTTTTGAAACCTAACATAAACCACATTTCTCCTCTCTCAACCTTGGTTTAAACCACAGTTCTTCTCTTTCAACCTTGGTTTAAACCACAGTTCTTCTCTCTCAANTTAGAATCTTTAAATGCCGGGTCACGTTCGAAATTTTTTCTACAGTTCCTTGAAAATTTCATGTTATCATATGTTCATTGCACAATTTCCAAAGATATTATAATTCAAAAAAAAACCTTGGGTGGGGGGGGGGGGTAATAAATTGTTCCGTGATTACAGAACATTAGACAAAAAAAAAATTAAATGTGTAAAACCTTCTGTATAACATCTAGTAAATATACAAAATATCCGTGAAAAATAAGGGAATAATTGTGATAAGCATTTTGAATTGATGATTTATGCTAACTTTTATAAATTCCAATTTGTCTTGTTAAAAATTTCTCTCTCTCTTATTTTCTCGATTGTAAAAAGACATTTTACGCTTCTTGTAAGGTTGTAACGAAAGAACTGAATACTTGTATCAAAATCTAATTTTAGTGTCCTTATATATTTGCAACCTGATGTCATATATCTTTGAAATTTAAAACTTTAAATTTGACAAAATCTAAAACTCAAAATATTGAAATACCATCAGGTTGTAAAAAAAGCGAACTAAGGCTGTGCAAAACAAAATTATGAGATTTTATTTTTTTACCCGGTATAAAGAAGGATGGAGAAAACCTTGACTTTGTACTAAAGGAGTGTATGTAATGTAAGTCTAGGAACGGAGTATATTGCTGGAAATGTAATTATCCAATCTGTAAAGTTTATCCTAAGTTTATCCTGGATAAAGGTTCGAACAAGGTAGAGAGGGTAGACTGACCACAGTCCCAAGTAAATACAGTCTCGAAACCTCTAAAAAAACATTTATTGTAAATATTTAAAAAAAAATAGCAGAAGTCTGAGGAAAAAAACATTAAATAGAAAAATATTTTTTTTTCAAATGTTGAGACAAACCCCTGTTATATTTCTTTATCTTTTAGGACCCTTTTAAACATTACTATTCAGGTTAATATCTGCTCTTGTTTATTCTAATGTTTTCATTCTAAATATTCCGCCTAAGTCCTCTTTCTCTCACAACTCTCTGCTTAGTATTCAGGGTTGGTCACAGAACACATAGAGACAGAGTCTTTCTTAGTCTACAGTTCAAACTGAACATTTTCAGACTTTCAAAACAAAAATTAAACATCCTTATAATAAAAAGGTCTAGCTAAAATTTTCAAGATTTGATTATTTCATAATTATTCAAAATAAAATTTTAAATTTCATTTTGTACTTTTTTAGATCAAATTTAATTTTTCAAAACATAGTTTATCTACTCTCTAATTCATATTCATTTATATTCTATTTTCTTATTATTGATGATATTTAATTTTAATGTATTAGAGCTTGAAACCGTACTCTACTAAGCTCTATAATATTCATTGTTCTGCTGTATATCAATATGTTTATTCTGTTCTTTCTGAATAATAGATATACAACTTTGTATTTTATTGAAAACAGGGAATTTTTTATATATTAAAATATACTCAAAATATACATAATGTATTTTATAAAATATTTGTTTCTAAGCCTGCAATATTTGAAGGATTTTTTTGCAGAATTAGATCGACAAATGTCAAAACTTTACCATTTCAATTTTGTATGCAAATTGAATGACGACATATCTTTTATATAATTTACATGAGTTTGTTTTTAATCTGAAAAAATATTGAAAGAAAATGGCTGACTGGAAGCAGCTGATATGTAAACAGCTGACTTTTTATATTTGCAGTGCCGGCGTTGGAAGAACCGGTTGCTACATAGTAATTCACTCAATGCTTCAGCAAATCCTTGCCAGGGGGGATCTAGATATATTCTCCTTCCTTCAGCATATCAGGTACCCACTCATCCAACCTAGAGGACATTAACCTTTTGGGTTTCCGGCCTAAAATTGTATTTTATCTTAAAATTGGTAAGGTCAGGTCAGGTCAGGCCAGGTTAAAGTCAAATTGAATATAGACGTAGCTATGAGTGGTATGGGAAAGATATTGTCCTTTTTTTATAACAAAAAGTGGGCAGTTCTGACAAAGCCTCCAATGTTTCTGTAGCATAATTCCGCAAGTCATATTTTTAGAGAAACCGAAATAACAAACACTGGATCGAGAGTCGATTTTATTCCGTGAAAACGCGCGGGGAGTAACTCTACTCAATATTTTCTTTAAAAGTACTCAATAATTAGGTCAGATTCCCTTTAGGTCAGTTTTCATAGCACTAGTTGAACAAACCAGTTTCTCAAGCTTTAGATTACTGTGCTGAAGTTTTTTTTTCAAAACCATGGCTCGGGAAACTTCTAAAATCTAATTGGATATTTTTGATCCAATTCAAAAAGTTTGAAAACGAGGTTCGAATTGAAGACCATGATAAATTTTTGATGTCAATGTCCCCAAGGCTCAGTTTCATTTGCCATAATATTTTTGCCATAATTACACTTGCCATAAGTAACAATTGCCATAAGTTACACTTGCCATAAGTCACACTTGCCATAAGTTACACTTGCCATAATGGTTACACTTGCCATAATTACACTGGCTATAATTACTTTTGTCATAATTTTCTAATTTTTAAAAAGATGTAAATCTGTCTTTTTATTGTAAATGCGGGAAATTTTCCCACGAAAATTCCCAACTTTAGTTTTCTCATTTTTTTTTTAAACAGAACAGAGCTGAAAACTTTAGAAAGGTGGATATCGGGATTAATGCTTAATCCACTCTTTTTCTTAATCTCGAGATTAAATATTGCTTTTTCTCCTCTCATTTTTAATCTCCAGATTAATTATCCGATCAGGATTAAGGATATCCCATTCTAAAGTTTTCAGCTCAGAGCTGGGAACTTTTGAATGGTGGATATCGGGATTAATGCTTAATCCACTCTTTTTCCTAATCTCCAGATTAAATATTGCTTGTTGTCCTCATGAATTTAATCTCCAGATTAATTAACAGATCGGGATTAAGGATATCACATTCTAAAGTTCCCAGCTCTGTTGACCTAAGTTCAGCTCCATATTTTCTCACAATGGAGGACCCTTTGAGACCACAAGTAAGGGTTCGAGACAGCAACAACTACACCTTTGTAGCCTATGCCTCGTCTACAGCAGTGAAATATTGAAAATGTTCGGTTAAAATGTGCTCAGCTAGAATTAGAACCCGAATTTCTCCCTCAAACCTATGAGAGGATTGCTAACATTGTCCTAAAGTATAATACTCTTCCCATAGAAGAGTGCCTAAACCTGATAGCTCATGAACTGTCTCTGCATTAGATTTGTAATTTGTATTCAATTTGTAATTGTAAAAAAAATATAAAAATATGTTTGTTAATTCAAACCAAATTTAATTTTAATTATGGCAAGAGTAATTATAGCAAGTGTGATTATGGCAAGTGTAACCATTATGGCAAGTGTAACTTATGGCAAGTGTGACTTATGGCAAGTGTGACTTATGGCAAGTGTTACTTATGGCAAATGTATTGTGGCAAATGTAATTATGACAAAAATATTTATGGCAAAAATATTATGGCAAATGAAACTGAGCCGTCCCCAAAGCATGTTTCTATTTGTGCTTATACTAATTTGATTATTAGGGGTCAGCGCAATGGTTTAGTTCAGACTGAAGAGCAGTATACATTCATCCATGACGCCCTTGTAGAGGCAATAGAGGCGGGAGAAACTCATATTACAAAGGAAATTCAGCCAGATTTTTATAACATCCGAGGACGGAATTAATCAATAGCAACGAGTGTTTGAACTGGGTACGGGTAGTTAAACTACTCGGGAAATTCTTTTTAATCATAATTTTCTTTATAACGATACTGTGAGGATTTTGGACATTTGAAAAAAACCCCAAATATTTTTCCCCCTGTTTTTTTTTCTTTCTTTTAGAAATAAATAAAAATGTTGATCACAAAATTTGATTTTTTTTAGATTAATAGACCTAAATTGAAAAAAGCATTAGATCCACAAACACATCATTACATAAGAAAATGTATTATTGATATTTTCAATTTAAACGGGTCTTTTTGTCAAATTCTAAAATCTGACTGAAACGTTTTGTCAGTCTTGTCTTCCAAAGTACATCCACAGTCTGCAGTGTATAGATGTGACTGATGAGAAACAGCTACCGCACAAAGTTATAGAAAAACAGTATAAGGTAAGCTAAGACCTGTAAAATGAAAATCACACAGACCTTAAACAAATGTGAAATTGTATCTTGCACCTATTTAGTATATGACTGCAAGCAATGTTAATTCCCAAAAAAATTCTCTCAAAGCAAAAGGTTAGCGAAATTAAAGAAATAGCTATGTGATCTGAGCTGAGCTGAAAACTTTAGAATGGGATATCCTTAATCCCGATCTGTTTATTAATCTGGAGATTAATAACAAGAGGAGAACAAGCATTATATTTAATCTAGGGATTAAGAAAAAAGTGGATCAAGCATTAATCCTGATATCCACCATTCTAAAGTTCTCAGCTCTGAGCCGGGCCCTTTAGAATGAACTGGATACCTTTAATCCCGATCGCTTAATCTGAATATCCAATGGTGAAACTTATAATTTCCTGCCTAATCAGCTCTTTTTCTCTCTTTTTAAATATCCCTACCAGATTCCGTTTAAAGCTTAGACAGAGATGAGATATGTGGAATCCATAAAACTGAAAAGATGAAGATGAAATTTAACGAATATTTTGTGTATTTAATGTTGTTATTAGTAGCTTAAAAATCAACTTATTAAATGAAATAGGGCTGTGTACACTGCACTATTGCTGTGTTACACGTTCGTTGGACTATCTAGATTTAAAACTTCAGTCTAACAGTCGTCTTCCAATTCCATAGTTTTATGGGTACAACAGTAAAACAAGAATGAACAATTCAGAGTTCTTACCTTTGTATCCTGTCCCAGCCCACCATTAATTTAATCAGTGTAGTTGCAAAGTATATAAAAAGTATGATTTTTCAGAAGTAGAAAACTTTATTAAACTTTGTTCTCTCTACACTGCAGTAGAATTCTACTCTCATCCTTCTTAAATCTGAAATAATCTTAAAGGGACTGTCCTTATACTTTCAAGCGAACCTCCATATAAATAAGGGCATGCACACGGCCTGCTTATAGATATGCTTCTATCTACCGATCTTTACTATTCTGGGCCAGCGACAGCGTACATGTAATTTTGTGGGTGTGCTTTACAGCTGTTATATCTGAGTGGACCCTAGATTTTTTGGGGAAATTCTTAAACCTCTGCATGGTGTACTATAAGGTTTCACTAGTAAATTTGAATTCTGGCTATCGTTCATTCTAAAAAAATGATTTGATCTTTTAAAAAAGTTTAAAGAGAAGTTCAGGGTCCAAATCAGAGAAGAGCTTTGTTAGATTGTGGGCCCTGGAATAAGCAGAAATGAGTCGGGTAGATTCTTATGCGTTTTGTTTTGAGATTTCCGAAATGTGGTCTGCCAATTTTTTACCTTAAGAATTGACCGAGATATTGAGAAATTTGTTTAAAATTCAAAATATTAAATATCAGCAAGGTTGTTTAATTCTTTAGAATTTTCAACATCTTTTATAATAAAAAAAAGGAAGCTATATTTTACCAAGTTTCAAAGTCAGTCTTTTTCAATACTCCTTTGACAACTATTAACTTTACGAAATCCAAAGACAAATTGTAAATCCAGGGTCCAATCTCTAACGTACTGCATGACACCCCGGCTATAAAATACATCCATTTTATTGTATATCCATGGCGTATACACGATTCACAATATTTCCCTCTTAAAATCTTTATCTCATTAATATTGTGGAAGATGTCGTCCTTTTTTTGCCAACTAAAAAGTGGGCAGTTCTGACAAAGCGTTCAATGTTTCTGTAGCATAATTCCGCAAGTCATATCTCTAGAGAAACCGAAATAACAAAAAGTTATAACCATGGTTATCTTATCAATTTTTGATCATACAAAGATTTAAATCAAAAGTACCAATCTATAAACGGAGAGTCACTTGAAATTACGTGCACAGTACCTTTAAATATCTCTAAAGTTTAGAAGGAAATATGCAGTTTTTAAAGAAAGCTTAGTAAAAGAAGAAAATATCTAAATACAACATAAAAATGAATAAATCTATGGATATATGTTTACTATGCAACGTTTTTGTTTTTCAATTTCTTTTTTCTAAGAAACCTATTCAGAAGTTCTGTAAAGAAATGTTGACAAAAACTTAATCTATTCAATCATATATTTTTTACGTATATTTTTATAGAAAAACAAAATTAGGTTTTTTAAAAAAATTTTTAATCTTATTATTGGTAAGCATTTACCAATAGTTTTAGAAAGAAATTAATTTTAAAAAACATGGTTTAAATACTAAATTTAATGAACGTGAAAAAGGGCGCAATACATTTATCATCTATTTGTTTAGAACGTTTGTTAAAAAATCAATTATTATGCATCACATTTAACTATTAATTTAACTATATAATTTTGAACCTTTTGTGTTGAATTGAAAACTATTATTCTGTCCAGCTAATGGCTTGAGTGAATGCAATTTAAAAGTTTGATTGAAGTTTGATTGGAGCAAACTTTTTAATGTTCAATGAAACTAGAATTAAATGAAACAATTGAATAAATCCTACAGGATGTACCATTGTGAAACTATTGAATAAATCCTACAGGGTGTACCATTGTGAAACTATTGAATAAATTGTACAGGGTGTTCCATTATGAAAGTATTGAATAAATTGTACAGGGTGTACCATTATGAAACTATTGAATAAATTGTACAGGGTGTACCATTTTAAAACTATTAAATAAATTGTACAGGGTGGACCATTATGGAACTATTGAATAAATTGTACAGGGTGTACCATTATGGAACTATTGAATAAATTGTACAGGGTGTACCATTATGGCACTATTGAATAAATTGTACAGGGAGTAACATTATGGAACTATTAATAACAGGGTGAATTAACATTAAAGATATATATTTGTAAAATTCAGCATATTTTTGATTTGTTCCATTTGCAAATAAAAGACTCAACCAAGTTTGTCAAATGTAATAAAAAATACACATTTTTATTTAGCAATATTTTTTTATAGATTTTTTTTACAAGCGTTCTTTATCATTTTGCAAAACATGCATAAAAAGATTTCAATATATTTATGATATTTAAGTTTTATGTGTTTAGTTATCTTTGCAAATATCGAGAAAATATATAAATAGTAAATTCTAGTATTGCATGACGACTATAAATCAAATATAGGTTTCAGTACAATTAAAAAATGAAATAAGAAAATATATAAAAAAGGAAAGGAAAAAGGAGTATGATACATGTTGCATTTTATGGAACAACGCTTCCTTCAATGTTAAGAAAAAGTAAACACAAGTGTTATGAAAATTAAAATGCAATGGGAAAGCTTGGAAGGGGTGATGAAAAAAGAAAAGGAATGGAAAGAGTACACGAATGGAAAAGTTAAAGAAATCGAAAGATTAGAAAAAAAGAAAGAAAGAAATATCTGTTATCTAAAGTACTGCGCTTATAGTATTTGCTACAGACTATTGTAAACCTACTTAAGAATTATAGCCTTCTTCTTTTACTAACTAGTAATGTATTTCTCCAAACGTAAACCAACCAAATCCTTTCAGGATCTATTTTATCTCATATACAGCTCATATAAAGGAGGATATTTTAATCAAACATAATTGCACTAAATGGACTGTTCACGTAACTTATTAAAAAACTCAAATTTGAGAAAATGCAGTTTTTATTCGTTGGATTTCAGCAGAAACAAATTCTGTAAGAATAATACAAATTATAACAATAATACTGATAATATCAATAATAATAATAAGAATGATAAAAAACAGACTTCTTGATAATGAAAATGGTTGAAAAGAACGTTGTGGTTCAACAGTCACTTCACTTTCTAACCTATTTTTCAAAATTGAATGTAAATTTTTGTATTTTCCATTCTATGTATTCTATTTTGTTTAGCTGTTGTTAATCTTAAAAATGCAGTTGCCGTGACACTTTTTTAGTCCTTTGATCAAGTTTATTCCAATAAATCCCGGACATACTTTGATCTGTTTAGTGTCGCGTGTGTGTGTGTGAGTATTTACATTTTTCAAGATAAAAAATGTGAACAATCACTTTTGTAATCCCATTACTGCCTACAGAAGTCTGCATGCAGAGTCTAATATATTAATATATTAGATTAATTAAGAACAGAAGAACAGAGGTTGAAACTTAGATGTTAGGTACTTTCCCAAAGGCATTTTCCCAAGTGGCAACTTCCCAAGGTTACTTTCCCAAGTGGTAACATCCCAAATGTGCAATTTCCCAAGCGGCAACTTCCCATGTCTGTCCTAGCCGTAGCACTCGGTCCCCAGCCTGTTGAAGCCGCAGTGCTTGACACGGGAATTAAATTAATCCAACGAAACGTAAACTTTACAAATTAAACTTTTTGATGTGATTAGCCTTACAAAAGTTTGCATCTCAGCTGATATTCTATTAATCCAAACCAAATATATTTGGCTCCAGACTTCCTGATTCAGATAATTAATAATGCAAAAGAACAGAAACAGATTAAAACAATTATATTTTCTGCGAAATATTTTCAAAATATTGATTTTATTTAAATAGTTAAGTTGCTTGAAAATATGCAGGGATTCAACATTATTATTGATTTTGTCTCAAGGGGTTCTATTACATAGTATCAGCTGGGGGGGGGGGGGAGAATAAGGATTATTTACAAAACATTTAAAAAAATTTATTGGATTTTTTACTGGATTGGTTAATGGTATTCGTTGGTCTACCATTGATCAAATTGTTGCATAATTTATAAAAAAAAACTTTTATCTTATTTTTGATTTAATTAGTTTGTTTATGATCAAACTGTTCATACTTATCTTTATTATCAATAAAATGTATTTGTTCATTTGTTCATGAATTGTTCAAATTGGACCTGTTCAGCAGATCAACTGTTTTACTGGTCAGCTGTTCAGTTGTTAACTGTTCAACTGTATAGCAATTTCCGTAAAAAAATTTCGACACGTGATCCCTAGCAAAATAAAATTCCCCCCCCCCTCACAAAAGCGCTATAGTTGTGCCCCTGGTATCTAGTTAGATTTCCATTTGTTCATCTGTTCGTCTATTCGTCTGTTTGTCTATTCGTCTGTTTATCTTTTTAGCTCACACCAGACTAACCAGAGTGAGAAGCATTCGGTTTCTTCTATTAGAAATCAAACGTGTTTTGGTCTTTAATTCAATAATCATTTACTTTACGGATTTGTGCACGTTATACATTTTTATTCAAAATGCATATGCCAACAAAAAAGTATTTTATAAAAAAGCTAACAAATTATGTTTAATGGGTCAAATTGTGATCGAAAATTACAGCTTTCTGGAATATTTACAGAACCGTTAAATCCACGCGAGCTGTTTAGGTGTTTAGCTATAAGCCGTTCAGTTTTTCAAATGTTAAGATGCAATGTGATATTATAGAATTTGATCTGATGATAAAATTGGAATAGAATGAAAGGGGCGCAAGTATGGGGGAGGAGGGGGGGGGCGTGGAAGGGGATATTCAGAATAGACGGATTATTTTCAGGGAGAGAAGGATGGTTGTGGTTTGGAGGAGGAGTGGGGGTTACATTATGAATGGGAGGGGGGGGGGGGTTTACTGTGCAAAGTTTGCCAACAAACTGTACAATAAAATTATATTATAGAAACATAAACCAGTTGTAGAATACTACTAGTAGATACATTTAGCTCAGCTTTAGATTTACATGGTTCTTAATCTTTGTTGGTTAAATTTATTAACTTATTTAAAATCATGTCAAAGCTTTCAAAACGTTTTGTTAAGAATTTAAAATAAAATATCACCATTCGAACTAAAAAATTGCCACAAACTTTTCATTCTAATCTCCATATCTTTACAAACCGATGCATTTGTCGTAAACTTTTAACAAAGCAATTTATAAACTCTGCCAGATCAAATTGACAAAGTTTGAAATCTTTAAGGTCTTCACCTACAGAAATCTGCCAAGAATTGGGGATTAGAAATTTAGAGTTTGTGTCGATTGTTCAATACCTTTTCCAGATAGTTTCTCTTTAATATTGTTCAATACCTTTTCCAGATAGTTTCTCTTTAATATTGTTCAATACCTTTTCCAGATAGTTTCTCTTGAATATTTCTGAAAGGAATTGAGTCTTTGCCACAAACTCTGATTTTCTAATCACTTTATCTTTGGAACCAAATGTTGCAGACCTTAGATATTTCAAACTATGAATTCTGTTAGATCAAATTATCTGAGTTTGAAATATCAACATAGAGTTCTAAAGATATTGAGGTTTAAATATTGGATTCTGTTCCAAAGACTCAATTCCTTTATATTGTAATTATAATGTGATGTGTAAAATCCTGATTGATGAGGTTTACTCGATATTATGCTAAACAGATTTTACACTTTACCAGCAAATTTCATATATTATATACCGCACAATATGCAATGATAGTTTATCAATTTTTTAACCAAAATGTTAACAATTGGTTTATTCTGATTGTAAAAAATACTTTTATGAATTTGGAAAGATCAGAAAGTTTCATTGAAACCTAGGATGTTGTTAACCTTTGATATTTAAAACTTTGATTATTTAAACAGAATTCATAGTTTAAAATATCTAAGCTCCAGGACATCATGGGTTGCAAAGATTAAGGATTATATAATTATATCTTGTGGCAAAGATTTATTTTAGATTGTAAAATAGCTTATAAAGCTAGAAAATACTGAACGATTAAAGTTGAGTACTTGATTGATCAAAATTTTAATAAAAATCAACTGTACATTTATTTAAACAAATCAAAATTTTTTTATAAGTCAGAACTATATCTTTGTTTAGTTGGTGTGTGCCTACCATGCTGGGAAGAGTCAGTACTCCACAGCTCTCAAGATCTGTAATCAATCCAAGAATCGATCTCCAGATCTTCTTCCCACTGACAGTCATAGGCAATCAATTAATCAACTAATTGGTTGACAAAATTTCTCCTGTAGTTAAAACAAGCTTGAAAAAGTTTTCCATCAAGAAAATTATCGAAAAAGTTTTAGGATAAACTTCGAAACGATAAATTCCAAAATTTTATTATTTTGGCATATTTCCGTCCCACCAACCTTATTAAGTTGCAGCACCATTTCTCTTTCATGCCTAGCTGTGGTTCATGAGAAAAACTAACTTAACACTATAGATAGTAAAAACATAATTTAAATTTTTACCAAGTCCACTCCAAAGTTGATTTTTTTCGGAAAATGTCTTTCTTAAATTTGTCTCTTCGAAGTTGCCTTTCCGAATAAAGTTAGCGGTTTAATCCTTAAAACTATAGTCTATAAGTCTAATCCTTACAAAGATAAAAGTGCAAGTTTTTAATAAATATATGATAATTGAATTGACTCTACTCTGTAGAATAAAAAAGCTGATCTAAGAGTAGAAGAACATGTTCTACTTATGTAAATGTAGTAAGGTGTTGCCATGTTTTTACCCTCTGATCTATTCTTTTCATTCTTTGCTCCATGTTCTAATCTATTCCTAATGAACCAGAAGCATATTTCTTCTTCTCACATACTGCCAAACTCTGCTAGTTTTATACATCATTATATACAGGCAAACGTTCAGGAATAAGCGAAAAACTTGGGGAAAAATTGAAATTTATTATTTAATAAAACTTTAAGGAACTGTCGACGTAGTTTCAGGTTATCCTATTTACAAAGTACCCTTTAAATCTTTATCTTTTTATTATAAAAATATTCTCGTTTTCTGTCAAAAATGTATGATTTTTAACCGTGGGTTCTCTAAGGGACATAAAGGGACTGTAAAGGAAAAATGAAAGGGGGTAAAGGGGGTATAGGCTGAAAGCTAGTCACTTTAGCTCTTGATCGCGACACATGAAAGTTATATCTGATAATCCTTGATATAAAACTGTGTTAAAATTATACGAAAGTTCATATATGTAAAATTTAGAAAATCTTAAACTTAAATCACGTGACCAGAACTATCACCAATGGCAGAGCAGTATACTGATCACGTGTCTCCGCCTGTATCATGTGACCACTTTACTGCACTGCCATTGGTGGACTTTCCGGTCAAGTAATGCGGACGTATAAATAATATTATAAATGAAATCTATTAAAAATAGAAATAACAAATATAAAAGTAAACCTAATTTACAATAAGCTTTCTCTTGGATATCATCGATTTCAGATTGGTTGCTTATTTGCTGAATTTGATCTTTTTATACAAAATTGTATATTAATTTTCGTAATAATATCAATTTCTCGAGATAGGAACATCAGATATGACTTTCATGGGTCGCGATCGAGAGCTAAAGTGATTAGCTTTCAGCCTATACCCCCTTTCATTTTTCCTTTACAGTCCCTTTAAGGATAGTATGCAGGAAAAAGAACGCAAATTATGAAAATCAAGATTCAACGGGTACCGTTGTGAATGTGGAAAGCCACTCTATAAATAGAGGGTCCTTAAAAAAAGAAATTCTTTCTGAGGTTATCAAGAATTGGCCATTGCTTTATCTAAAAAAAGAAAAAAGTATTATATTTTCTCCTGAAAAATATCAGATAAAACTTGTAAATTGTAATTTGAAGCTAATTGATTAATTGATTGATGGTTGCAGAGTATTCCTAAGCCCCGGTTCTCCACATGAAGGATCAGATTATATAAATGCATCTTGGCTTACAGGTAATAAACTATACATAAATTTATCATTCTTTTAATTATGCTTTTTTTAAACATGAGTTATCAAAAACATACTGGTTAAGCAACAGGACTTAAACTCCAACTTTTAGAGGTTAACTCCTGCCAGATTTTTCCAAAGAATTCAACTTAATAAGATTCAATTTTGATATACTATTCTTAAACATATCATAGTAACTAAAAATGGTTTTCACTGTCCTGTCCATAAACTAGAACCCCTACCTAGGGAGCTGACCTTATTGGGTTAAAATTGAACAATGCAGTCATCATTTAGGTTTTAATGGACTTTTGGGACATTTTCCCGCTAAATAATCCCCTAATCATGCTTCCTGCAGTTATATCTCTTATTCTTAATCCTTCTCCAATCCTACCTCCTAATCCTCTATCTTATTCTCCAATCCTATCTCCTAATCCTCTATCTTATTCTCCAATCCTATCTGCAGAGGAGTATTTTAGTATTCTGTATACAATACCATGGTCCTTTGGTATTTCTCCTGCAATAGCCCCAAATCCACCCCCCCCAGAACCCCTTTCAGTGGACTTTAAGCTTTTTGGGACTTGTTTTGGTGTGGTTTTCAGTTTGTGAATACTTACACTATTCAGATTAAGTCGGTTCTATTTGCTAATGTTGTGCAAATTCTTAATCTGAACTTCCTGTACAGTGCTATTGTTTAGAAAATAGTCTTGATTTACCCCTTAACTATTGAATAAGTCTAAAATTAGCCCTTCCTAGTAAATCAAAAATAAAGATTTCCATTACTTTTAAAAGAAATGATTTTCTAAGAAAATAATGTTGTTACTACGGATATAATGAGATTTTTAATTGCAGTTTTTTTCTTTGTCAATGGCTCTCCTTCTCATCTTTTGCGTAATTAATCTAATGCTAGGAATAATTTGTTATCTGTTTTTTTTATTTGATATGCTTTATAAGGTTTCCAGATTTCAAGAGGCCCCTAAAAACGTTTAAATTGTTGTGTTCTACAAACTACCTTTAATTATGCCAAATAAATTTGTTTCAACAAATTCAACAAACTCTGATTTTCTTATTCCTACATCTTTGCAACCCAAAGTCGATCATAAGCCTTAGATATTTCAAACATGAATTCTGTTTGATCAAATTAAATTTTGAAATATCAAAGCTTCATGCCGTCAGGTTGTAAAGTTATAGGGATTAGAAAATTTGAGTTTGCGGAAAAGACTCAACTCCTTTTCCCCTCCCCATCCCATCCCCATTCCCTCTCCATCCCCTCCCCTCCCCTCCCCTTTCCCCTAGCCTGTATCTATGTATTTGAATTATAATAACCTTTTGCTCTCAATATTTTCAATTTAATATTTCTAAAAGATTTAATTTTGATTGAAAACGATCTGAATTGAATAAAAGGACAAACATATTATTTTTAGAAGTCTGCTCAAAACATCTATCAAGCTGCTGTATCATGTGACCACTTTACTGCACTGCCATTTTTTATATTATTAGTATTATATTATTATTTTTATATTATTTTGTTCAGGATTCTACAACAGGAAAGGATATATTGTAAGCCAGCATCCTCTGGATAATACTGTTTCTGCCCTCTGGCAGCTGGTCTCCGAGCAGGATATCCTCGTCATGGTTGTCCTCACTAACCTCGACAACGAGGACTACCGTCCCTTCTGGCCAACCTCCTACGGGTCGGAGATGATGTGGGACTCCGGGTATAGTCAGTATACTGTCTCACTCCTGGAGATAGATGATTTCAGTCCAAGAACCATTCGGCTTAGATTAGAGGTAAGGACACAGGAGACAAAGGAATTGAGTCTTTGTGAAAAACACAAACGTGCTAATCCCTAGATCTTTGCAACCTGATGGTGCTATTTCAAACAAAATTTAAAGTTTTAAATACACCCATCCCAGATGTTTAAATAAATGTTTAAAGAATAAAGTTTAAAGGTTGAAAACTTAGACTTAATCTAGAATTAATAAAAACGTCTGTTTATCAAACGCTCAAAAAATTTTACACACAGAAATCACGTTGTGTTGATTTTCATGCTTGGATGTGTATTAAGATATCCTATTGTTATAATGTCTCATCTATTTCTGTACTTGTCTGTTGTAAACATTATATTGGAAATAGTTTGGCTCCGTCTTGTTGATCAGTGTAATCCTTAACTTTCATTAATACAACAATACCTGGGATAACTAAGGTCCAAGTTCTCCCACCCTCCCCGGGCCCCAACCTCCCCCTCATCCTGATTTACCTCCCCGGGCCCCAACCTCCCCCTCATCCTGATTTGCCTCCCCTTTTCATCCTTGGTTCGATAGGTCTGCATATTTAAACTTACATTTGTCTAATGTGTCTATCTGTTTCTATGCATATGTATGATGTGTCTATTTGTTTTAATGACTTTATTCAATGTCTTTGTCTGAAGTGTCTGTCTGTTTGAATGTCTACATATGTCTGATGTCTCTATCTGTGTGTATGTCTATGTCTAAATGAACTGGACAGTATTATCGGTTTCTATTCTCAGAAATGAGTATTCATTTGGCAGCAGATACACTTCTTCTTTGTTTTCATCAATTCATAGATTCATCTATTCATTCATTCACTCATCCTTCCTTTAATATTTTTTCCCTGCGTGACTAAAAAAACCTCCACCTGTGTGACTTGATGTGCTAGCAAATGTAGAGTGTTACACCTCTAAAATTCCGTCCCAAACTCCGGTTGATACATGCTTCATTAGTACGTGGATACTTTGTAAACGTTATACATTTAAAGACTTCATTTAACAAAATAGTCATGGCTCCGTTTTTTCGTCTTTTTCTCACTAAAATGCTATTATTTAACCCTCTTAGTGTACANGGGGGGGGGGGGCTACAATTGTTTTCTCCTTTTTTCCATATTATTGTATTGTCATCAAATATTTGTATCTAGACTGGAGGTGTGGTGAGGGAGGTTTGTTGCATCGAGGTCAGCAACTGGCCGGCCCAGTGCTCTCCCCTCTCAACCGTATTTGACCTCGTCAAGTTAGTAGACGAGGAGGCTTTGAGGATGGGTGGAGGTTTGAGGGATAACCCTATACTAGTTATAGACAGGTATACAATACATGATAACCCTATACTGGTTATAGACAGGTATACAATACATGATAACCCTATACTGGTTATAGACAGGTATACAATATATGACATTCTATAGAATTTATAGTATAATTCTAGTATACTTTTAATTATGACAAATATATATTAACCGTAAACATTTTTTAAAACGATTTATTAAAATGATTTTATCAAATGTTTTGAAATTTATGTTGGTTAGTTTATTTATAGCCAGAGTAAAGATTTTGCAGTGTTATATAAGCAAACGAATGAAAAATAATTCAATTTTTAAAAATGGTAAATAATCATCTCAGATTCTTGCTGATCCTTTGAAACTATATCGGTATCTTAGGAGTAGGACTGAGGTGGGGGGACATTCAATACGTGTATAGTATAGCACTTACTATACATGGATTACAGTCATCCGAAGGTTACAAGCTCTCACGAAAAAAATATTTGGGAATTTTGGCAATTAATTATTAATAATTGAAGTTTACAAGGTGCTAACGGGTTCTAAAATGAACATGTCTAGGGCTACTTAGTTTTTTGGTTACGGTAAAAAAAGTTTTTGCGACACTATAAAAATGGTCCAGTCTTTACAATTGATGCAACTTTCCATAAGAGTCTGGATCTATGTGAGATAAATTATATTTTGGTAAAGTGCAAGGATATGCACAAGTTTAGCCGGTTGAGTGAATATACTGAATATATAATATTTCTACAATATTGGGAATATTCTACAATATTCTACAGGATAGAAAACAGAGTCAGCATTGATCTACGTATACAGTTTTATGATTACATACTACACAGGGCATCAATAACTATATATATCTGTCAAATCGAAGAAAAATATGTAGGTGCACATACACCCCGTCTGATTTTCCAAATATATGTTAATGAACGGTGGAAGATAGCCTTTAGTCTGACTTTTTAAATATTAGTTCATGAATTGAGGAAGTCAGATCTAGTCTGATTTTCCAATTTTTTATTAAAAAATGGAGGTATCCAGCTCTAGTCTGAAATTTCCAATTATTAGTTAAGGAAAGGTGGAAGTCATCTCTCGTCTTATCTTCCAATTACTTATAAAGGAATGGAGGTAGCCAGCTCTAGTTTGATTTTCCAATTACCTATTAAGGAACGGAAAGCTCCAGTCTGATTTTTCAATTATCCTTTTAGAAATGGAGGTATCCAGCTCTAGTCTGATTTTCCAATTTATCTTTTTAGAAATGGAGGAAGCCAGGCAGGAACATTCTGTAGCCTAATGTCTCTATGGCAGCAGCTTGAGTTTGAAGGATGTGTTGATGTATTCCAGCTTGCTAGATTATACCATTATAGTAGACCGGGCATATGGAGGTCTCAGGTAATCACTATTTTTTAATTAAAGGGAGTGTTCCCGAAAAAATCAACCAATCATCCCAACTTTCTGCACAGTTCTAAAAAACAGGTTTTCTCTGGTGGAACTGGGTCCCTTAACAGAAACATGTGATAGTAAAACAGCAAACGTATTACATACAAATTCATTCAAGTTCATAATTTGTTTAATATTATGTTAGCATTCCCTTAAAGGTAATCTCAGAACCTGTTGTTAGATGAGTTTTCATCGATGTTTAATAATGAACCATTTCTTTGAACATTAAATTACAATTATTTCCAGACTTTTATGGTTCTTAAAAGTAAACAAAGACAAATATAGACATTGTTAAAGAAATGTCTTCTTTCTTTAATCTTCTGAGCACTGTTAAATATTTATATTGTTTGATACAAGCAATTGATGGAGACAAAATCAAATATAGGGGCCCTTCTCCCCGCCTCCCCCCCCCCCTCCTCATATCAATCTCAGTTATTAAACATCAAACACGTAGATCAAAACAATCTATACAAAGGGGCGGGTTCTTCCCATATTCAATATTCCAATGAATTTCTTTTTTTACTCACTCTAAAAAGGCAAAAAAATGAAAATTTAAAAAAAAAGAATGGCAAAAAATTTGGACACATTTTTAGGATTACATTTTCATCATTAATTGAGAACGCAACGGGTGAATAATTTTTAATGGCACAATTAAAACAAATTATCTACCTTAAATAATCATAACAAAAAGTTATAGAAAAACTTACAAAATTCTATCAATTGTAGTTTTAACTTTATGTACATATCAGGAGGACTACTTGTTCATGTACTGTGCTCTGGAAGCGTACATAACCAACAACGGTACAACAATCCCTAGTCCAGTAGATCTAGATGGATGGAGGAACGGATACCAGCTTAATGGTTGCGTAAGGGTCAGTAAGGTAAGATAAAAATTTTCAAATAAAACATGAGAATTTCTTTAAAGAAAATTATTTTTAAATGGGTTTAACATTTCTTACTTTTTAGGTTTATACAGACAGCGTCGAAGAGAGAGTAACCAAGGCAAGCATATTTATTTTAAAACTTTAAAAACAAGTTGTCTACAAAATAATTAATTTTGTAGATTTTACCGTTTACATTGCAGGTGTGGGAGGGAGTGGGGATGACGGATAGTTTACGGATTCCCCCTGATGGCCAGGAATCAGCTGCGCTTCTCAGGTAAATCCATCATTTTGAATTTAATGTCGTCTTAGCTGTGGTTTAAAACAAGAATTAAGTAGATAAAAGCCTATTGATGTTCTCCCTTATTATTCAAAGTAATTCTTCCATTAAAGTTTTCTATTTTGTTCTAATTAGCTTCGTTGTTTGAACCTAGGAACCTCGAGGATGGGCTCAGCTGAGGACTAGCAACTCTCAGAAGAGAGACTAAACTTTAGACATTGTTCTTCAAACCCCATCCTGCAATTTATACTCAAACATTAAATGAGGATTTTGAATCTGCCATGCACAATTTTAGCTTAGACGTGTTTAAGCAAGTGAAACTCAGAAATCAGTGAGCAAAAATATGTGAAAAAACTTAATTATCAAAACGGAAATTCAACTTATAGTCGAGTCAAGATTCAGTATAATCAGTATAATTTGTCAATAAGAATACAGAACAAATAAAGTTAAATAAATAAAAGAAAAGACCGCTTCAAATGTTCAAAAATCTATTTTCTCAATTTTTTGAAATTCTAAATCTAAGATTTTGAAGGAATGCAATCTCTAATTGCACAGTCAAATATCTTTTGGATTTTGTACGTTTTTTACTTAACTTCCAAGGAAAATGAATTAAAACTACCTCTTCAATTAATTTTTTTTCCCAATTCCTATGATCTCAAGACACAACTGAAAAATTTAGATTTTTTCAAGATATAGAAATTTTGGTTTACAGGGGGAAATGTGAATGAAGAAACGAAGGGGGAGGGGGCTTCAACAGTTTCACAGCAAATGGTCCAACTATATTCATTCAGTTTAGTTCATTTACCACAAGGAGATTTAAAAACAAGGAAAGAAAATATGAATTTAAAAATTTAAAAATACGTGAACAGGTTTTGTATAAATCTGAGAATATTATCACAAATTGCTTACAAACAGCATTGTTTGAATAGAAAATAGAAAAATTAAAATTGAAGAATATTTGTAACAACCGCAAAATTAGTTTGTTCATAGAAGTGCCCAAAAACCTTGTGTATTGCTGTTTTTTCTTTTCTTTATATAAATACCTTAAAGGGAATGTACGCGTAATTTCAAATGACTCTCCATTTAAAGGGCAAGCACGATTTACTGCGGGACCCAATTAAAACCTTAACCAAATGAATAATAGATAAAGTACAGGGTGTCCCACGAAACATGACAATAGGAAGACGACTTGAAAGTCGTCTTTGGTATTTGAATTTATTTGTGACATTTAGTCTTCTATCTACTTTAACGTGCATGATTCTTGAAACAATTATCGCATAATTCTCCTAGCCCTTTTCCAAAAAGTGGTCTGCGTTTTTTGTGTTTTCAATATTACCGGAGATATAAAGAGTTTGGTTTAGATTTAAATTTTGTTAAATAAAAGCAAAATTGTCGAAATCTGAACGAAATTCTTCATATCTCGGGCAATATTGAAAGCACAAAAAAGGCAGACCACATTTTGGAAATGGCAGGACAAGGGAAATTTTGTGATTATTATCTTTAGAAATTTACTTCTAAAATTAGATTGACAAATAAACGCAGCAAATTATATCAAAAATCAAGACGACATTCAAGTCGTCCTGCATACTGTCATGTTTCGTGGGACACCCTGTAGTTTGTCTATGTTAAAAAGTGCTATTTTCCCATTGTTGCTGAAGAAAGAAATGTACAAGTCACTTCTATAGAGGAACCACAATAAAAATACTCAGTTTTCAAAAACAAAAACATGGATTTCTAAAAAGGTAATTTCAAGGTTACATGTGTGAATTGAACATGCCACTCTATCAATGGAGTATTATACTTGAAATTTTGCCAACACTTAAATGTAAAAAATTCTTGTTTGTAAATATTATTCATGTCCAGTGTAAATAAAGAATTATTGCTTGTACAGTATAAATGTTTGTATACATTAAATGTGCATGTACATATACCTAATATTCTTACTAGAAGTTACTTTGTTCAAGGTTTTATATAATTTACAAATATGCTTTAATCTTTGAAATAAACTAGTCGATGGTTACAATTGTTTTTGTTATTTGACGAGCTAGGAAATAAGAATTTGAAGATCTTAAAAGAGAGAAAAATAATTGAAGTTAAATTGTACATTTTGTTTTTTAGCTGAATCACACTTGCTCCACGCGCACGTCTAGTCCGTTTTAGTTTTAGTTAAAACACGATTGTGAAATATTTATATTTAGCTAATTGTTTTTTAAAAACAATTAGCACTTTTCTAATAAAAATTTAGCAAATTTTTACTTCACAATGAATATCTGGCACATTTTGAGTAATAGGATATCACGTTAAAAATATATTATTTCCGAACTTCTATTAACAATTTTTTTATTAAATTGAATGAAGTATACTGTAAAGCTGTAGAGACAAAGAAAAATGTTTTGAATTTCCTATATTGTACAGTGAAACCCTTAATAACGAAGACATCGAAAGAATTCATCAAATGTCGTATTCTTCACTTTCTGATAATGGACTGTTGCAGATATTTAGTTTTTTAATTAAATGATTATTTGGAACTCTTTAAAACTGTTCCCGCATATTCATGGCTATTTATTTATTTTCGCAAATACTGAAATTTACGTAATAAAGTATAAAACTCATTGAAAAATTGTCAAGACGACATTTGATAAATTCTTCCGATGTATTCTTTATTAAGGGTTTCACTGTATATGTTACCGGATGATTTTTTTTCTTATCCTTGTTCATAAAATTAAAATTAGAGGAGCTATGAGGTCACAAAAGTCGTGCCAGTAAATTTCCTTTTCTGTTTAGTTCACCGTAGAGTGTAAATTATCGTTTCAAAGCCGTGGGTGTGTACTGGACACAGAGTAATCATAAAGAAGATTGCCACTGATATGAATATTGAATAAGAGATGAATGTAGATTCTAGATTCTAGATTCTAGATTGTGTTCTTGGAGGGGAATATTTTTTCATGTCTAATTAGTATGCATGAAGTCTATTTTCTACTTTATTCTTCACCGCAGTAACTATACAGGGTGTCAAGAAAAAAAGAGGTGATTTGTTGATCCTTTTTGTACGTTAAAAGTCCTGCACAATTTCATAACTTCATTTAATTTACGCATTTAAGATAAAGAAAACGCTGATTAGAAAATTAGACTTTTCAGCAAGCACTCAGTTCTTTTCTCAAAAGTACGCTGCAGAGTTTCCGCATCTATAGAGTTACGCAAATGAAGCCTTATTTTTTAAATACCTAGCTGACTTTGATATGATGCCATATACATACCTTTGTTTTACCCATTAACCTATATACATATACTTGTTTGCAGTCTAGGATAAAATGAATAAAAAGCACTTGGTAATTGCTTTACTATACAAAGCAAAATTGACCAAATCAAAATAAACGTTTATGTTATTTTTTCACAGTATTACTAATCTTTATGGTGGACGGTTTTTTATCCTAAACATAAATCTAAAGCATTTTCTAATTCTTACCAATACACGTCATTAATTGTGTGTTTTATATTCCATATTTTAAAAAGTGTTTTGGATATCTGTATATCCAGTATTCTGGTGTCCGGTTTCAAGAAAACTTTTACAAACAAGAAAACAAAGTTTTAGAATAATTTTGTAAACTAATTCCAGGGGAGAATCCCTTTCAACCCTCAAACCATGTCCCCCTCCACATAATACCCCTCCCCCCCTTCCCAACTACACCCTCCTCCACCTCCCTCCTCCTACCTCCTCGCCCATCTCGGAGGAGGTTTCAATGTTCACTCGCCATATAAGAAGGATATTCGAAATGAATTTTTTAATATTTTGCGGAATTTATGAAGTTTATATTTGGCAAAAAATGACCAACATTTTTTTAGTTATTTCAATATCAATATCAATATTTTTCCAATAAAATTGTAATTTTTACTTTAATTGATTTTCTTCGAAGTTTTTTCTGAAGAGAGACCCCCGTGGGTTCCCTTTAAAATTGCTTTGTTGGACTGACAATCATAAAATCGAAAATTTACTAAATGAATTTAAAAAAAAGAAGCATTAGCATAATTTCAAAGAATTATCTTGCTTCGGGAAGTAATTCAGTTCGAGAAAAAAAATCCTTCTTTGAAGTTTGCCGGAACGTTAAAAAGTCGCAAAGTCGTACTAGGAAATCTGCATGAAGAATCCAGTTTATTTCGCAGATGCTGTTTATGCATATTTTTGATTGAATTGTCTGTTTTGCATCCAATAAACGTGAAAACGAATAAAGCAATCAGACTAAATATTGTGGCTATACTAAACATGATTCCGACAAAAAGAATATTGGGACTCAAACAAAATTGTTTTAAAGGCCACAAATTCATTATTTTAAGGCCAGCTCATAAAAAATTAGACCCAAAACTTTAACGGTTAGGGTGCTTTGTGCGCAAAGCGTCTTAATCCTAAAAGCCTAGTATTTACTGCGCTATGACATACAGATAATGTAAAGCGGACTCAGTAGCGTTACAGCAAGGATGCCTACTTACTAAGCTTTCTCTCTCATCGACCTTTCTCTCACTCTATCTATCTAGCTATCTCTCTGTGAGACTACACTTCACAGAGTAACTGCACATAGACTTCGTTTTGCTATAGATAAAGTCAGAGAACTTTAGTTCTGAAATTGACCATTAGAGGTCTCTTGATAATGTTTGTAAAACTACCAAGAAGATTTTTGACTTACATAAGATCACGAGGCAATTTTCTTCTACTATCTAACCCGTTTCAAAGTGAGATGAAAATGATTTAAAAACGTTTAGTTAGTTGGGGTTTTAAAGCCCATGTACTATCACAACATTTGAAGATATAAGTAGTAATATCAGTTTACTTATTAATTTCACCCTGATCAGCTTAGGACCACTTTTCCTTTTTCTGGAAGTGATTTACTCACTTTTAAATATTAATACATAGATACAAAACCATCTACTGAGTCCAATCAATAAAGACCTAATTAAACGAGGCATTCTCTAGCAAATAAGAAACTCGTAAATCATATAAGAGATTGCAACTTTAATATGATATTTAGCATGTCAAAATTATCTCACACCCTAAGAAGCTTCATCTTTAGCTTTACGTCGCACACGTGTTATACAATAATGCCATGATCTCATTTCGTACAGAACTATGATTCAACATACAAAGGTTGCGAAAACGGTGGACTCCGTCCTGCACCGAAAGAAAATCTCCTACATATGTTCTGGGATTTTCCTCGTGTACAAGCATAGAGAATAGAATATATATTAGAGGGGAATTTAAAGAATCTCTCGGTATGAATTTTTTTAGTCACTTTCAGTCTGAAAGGGAGTTCAAAGTGTATAAATCATGTAAATGTTCACAAATTATATGTAGCAGAGTACATTAATACAGTATGTTCCCTAGACTATTCATTTCAATTTCGAATTTTTTAAACTGTTAAATAAACTTTATAATGAATTAGGTGAATAAAAAACATCATTTGATTTATAGTTATAAC